AACCTGTGGGATCAGATACGCCCTCTGAAGAGCATGCTTTCGGCGCGTCTCATGGCGGATGTCTCAATTTCCAGCCTTGTCTCGTGGATCCTGATGCCGAGGTTCTCGACGAGCAAGTGGCTCAGATCTTTCTGACTCTTGAGGCCAAGGGCTACTCGACCTACATGCAGGAAATACCCGTCAAGTGCACTCACCGAAGAATCTCCCGCTTTAGTCTCGCGTATGCCGTCGCTTCCAAGTTCGATGCGTATTTGAAGGCGAGCAAAATTTAAGCTATTCGAGATTCGATTTCTCATCGACGCAGGACTTTCCCTTCAATCCTGCGGCCGTCAAAACCAGCATCGATCGTCGTCCGTTCGGTGGATGAGCTACGAATGGTCAACTTGTACACACGCGACGGAAGAGTGTGGCGTGTCCATGTAGCTTACCATGACTGAAGATCGTCATATTAGCACCTGTACCAGTATGCCTTTCAAGTTTCCCGCTTTGCTTCAGAGTCCTCTATCGCTCGTTTCCGTTTCCGTTCCATCCTTGCTTGCTCCCTGGCGCGAAGGTCTTCGAACTCCTTCTGCAGGTGGGCCTTCAGTGTAGGCATATTTTTCATCACCGAATCGCATCGCCAGCATACGAGATCTTCTTTGAGCATGGGCTCATAGTGCCGTTTCGGCTCAAGTTGACTCATCTAATACACAATCCTTATCAGTCGCAGTCAGAAACGACGCGCGCGGCCACCCACAGAGTTAAAGTAGGAAGGTTCTGCGTCAAACCAAGAGAGAACCTCGTCTAAGGACAGGAAGAACCCAAGCTTCGGGTGGAAAGAGTTGTAATGTTTCTTGTGCTTCATGCGATCAGAGCACAAGTCATCCGACAGAACGTGCAGGTGCAGATGACTGGGCGAAATCAGAACACGGCCCGAGAGAAGGGCTAATTCACGGACTCCATGGACGGTGCTCCGTGAAACCCGGTCCAGATGCCCCACTTGAAGCCATACCGCTCAATCATCTCCTTCTCGATCTCGTCCCGCAAACTTTCGGCCTCGGTGCGAAGTGAAGTAAGTAGTTCCAGGGCTCGCGTCTTGTTTCCCAAAAGAAGACGAGGAAGGTGAGAAAGTTCCGATGGATTTGTAAACGGCGCGACTACGCGAGGAAGAACGAGAAAGTGGAATATAGCTAGTAAATTGTTCTCAGTCTCAGAATTTTACAGTAGAGTCTGTGTACATTTTGGGAATCCATCAAATATCGTGATTGAGGAGGCAGAGCTGGAGAAAAGAACTGTGGGGGGAAGCTTCGAGGGATTTGTAAGTGCGTAAGTGCGAAGAATGGTCAGTTGGGACATGGAGACTCGAGGGACTGTCGTGGAGAATGCGTTAATTACATAACGTGACCGTTTCATCAGCACGTGTCCGATGTTGCTTATCGATAATCAGTCCGAGCGATCTCCTTGAGTTTAGACTTCGGAGCATGAACTGCGTTTGACCGATGGATCGGACTACGACTGCCTCAATACCAGCTTCCATATCTCGATCCCTTCCCATTCCTCTTTGTCCCAATGGCATTGGCTTTTTTTGAGGGCCATCGAGACCTTGCGTGGAGGAACCTGGGACACGGAGAAATTCCAGACACCTGCAGCTTCAGATAAAAAGCGATCGCAAACGGCCGGATCGCGGCGTTCGAGACAAATGAATGCGACAGATGGATGGGAAGGGAACATTTTCACCAGCGCGTGAATACTTCGAAGAAGCGGATCTATGAGAGCCATGGAATACACTGTGTCCGCCGATATCACATAGTCAAAAGGCCGAGGCGACTTTTGCTCTCCGCCGTTAGGGGAGCAGTCTGGAGAGGCAATGATCGTGGAGTTATCCCATATCCAGCGGTCTGGGACAACGGTCCAGTCCAGCTCACGTACAGAGATCGTTCCGCTATTGAAAGGAAGAAGTCTCGTGTTGCTTTCGATATTTCGGGCCAGATTGGACGAGATGACCCAGGGGAGATCCGTCGCAATGACGTGGCAGCCAAGATGTGCCAATGACAGTGCGGTGAAGCCTATCCCGCTACCCAGCTCGATGACACTCGTGTCCTTCGACTTGACTACTCCAGAATGGATCAGGTAGGCCGACAAACATTGGGCGCCGAGCCAAAGGGCGGTGCCGTTGGAAACCCCGTCGTCTGATTGCCCAAGCTGGAAAACTGTGGAGGTCGAAGGTAGCGGATGTGGGCAAGCAAGGACTTTTGAGTGTTTAGTGTGGCTGGCAGGAAGCATCTGAAAGTGATTGCAGCCGGCGGCGCATGATGATCAAGGTGAACCCTAACCCAGTGACCAAGATGTGGTTGTAGCCTGTTGCCTCGTTCTCGGGCATTCAGTTGGCACTTGCACGGCGGTTCTCTTATCCGTGTGCATCTTCTCTGCCGTCGCTTCCGCCACCCCTTCTCGCGCGCTCTACGACGGCTATGAAGGCCTTTCTTTCCCGACTTCACATTGGCTCCACCAAGGAGAAAGAGCGAGACGTCTCCCCGGCACTACAGAAGGAAAAGTTCCCCCCGCTGCGTACATGGCCGCCAGCACCGATGGCACGTTCCAACTCGACACCATCTTCGACCGCCGCTTCGATCACGAAACCACTCCCTGAGCCCGTAGTCCAGGACGATCCCTCTTCATCTTCTGATACCACGACGCCCACACCGGTCTACTCTTCTCCGACTCCGACGCCACGAGATGAAGACACCATCTCTCCACTCCCGGAACGCTCTGAATCCCCACGTGCTGAACCAGACTCGGCTGGACGCAGCTCCCGAAAGACAAATGGAAGTGTTGTTACGGCCACGGGAAGCGACATTCAGAAAAAGGTCGCATTCAAGTCGCCACCTCCAACGCCATCTAATCTCGATCGCACCTTGCCTGAAGCCCCACCTGGTGCTCCTTCATCCTCCGTGCCACTCAAAAATTCTGTGTCACGTTTCCAGGCGACTCACGGGAAGGAACCTCGTGGCTCTACTTCATCCGGCGCGTCTTCATCCAAGGTTGACCTTGTATCCTCAGCAGGCAAGACTACTGCCAAGTCGAACTCGACGCGTGCTACCTCGCCGTACCTACAGAAAAGCCTGGAGATCGGTTCCAGTCAATCGTTGCGCTCGGGAACGCCTTACTCTTCCATGTCCAACACCACCAGCGGCAGTCGTATTCTCTCGGCTACATCATGGAGCGAGGTCACAGAGGATGACCTGGTATCGAACATTGGGTCTCGGGAACGGACCAGACAAGAAGTTCTATTCGAAATCATATCCAGTGAGGAGAGGTAAGTCCATTGGCATCATATCCAGCCTTTCTGTTACGACCGTTGTCCTTAGATACGTCCAAGAACTGGCGAAAATGAAGGACACATTCATTGATCCTCTGCTCCATCCTTTCTCCGCACCGACCGCACAGCTTTCTTCCACGCCCAACCTTGACTACGATTTCTATCGAGCAGAATCGCCGGCAGAATCCAATGATCACCTTCCCCCCATCGCTGCACGGTTTATGTCTCCCAGTCCGCATCCAGGGAGCACCCATTCGCACAAGGACACTCCCAACATCGACGGCGAGTCGCAGGACACGGACGACGAAGATGAAGGCACGGACCATGTTGGCAAGGGGTACTCTTCTAGTCGCCAGGGGCAGCTTGCGAAGCAGAACCACCCACGGTCGCCATACCGCTCAAATGGAGTCAAGACGGGTGGCAAGTCGGTTCCCTTTCCGTCACGGTCACACCATTCGTTGCCGCCGCCACCGAGGGCAACTGGGACTGGGTCCACCCATTCTCTGGGCCGTCATGCGTCGGTTGCTGAGCGCGAACGCAACTACAGCCAAGGCCAGGCCTCGATGGCAAAGAGCACAGCAACTAGTGCCCGACCGGGCATGCTTCGCAAGCTCAAGAAAAGCCAGACGAACAACGACAGTCCGCTCGGTGATGCCGTTGCGCCTAATCAGCTGCCCGAAGACCTAAGAATATGTCTTGAGGTCGTGGATAGCGGTGTGTTTGAGGGGCATCGCAGGCTCTCCGAAGCACTCAAGAAACGCTACGACGATCAGTTCCCGCTTGTTCGGTCTCTCGCCGATGTGTTTGTATCAAATGTGAGTGTTTGCAGCTGCCCTGCTCCCTATCTTCCTAACAGATATCCAGTCCGATATATTCCAAGGCTATGCCACATATGTGCTCCACCTTGAGCGTGCACTCGAGCAAGTCGACAACGCACTGTCCAACGTCTCCACGAAGAAGCCCAAGAAACAGGATGCAGGCGAATGGCAGAAAGTGTGCAAATTTCTGCAAAAGCTGGAGGAGAACGCGAGCGAGAAGGGCGAGACTGGCCTCGCGATAACCATTTCGAAACCATTCCAGCGTCTACTCAAATACCCGCTTTTATTCCAGAACCTGCTCTTTCACACGGATCCGAGCACTTTCGAATACGAAAGCACCTTGCAGATGGTAGCCGAGGTCGAGGCCATCGTTCGCAGTATCGAGGACGAGAAGATCCAGAAGGAAGAGCGAGACAAGACGAGAGATGTGTTTGCTCGCATCGAGGGCTTGGACAAAGTGAAGCAGTTGATGGTGCCCAAACCATCCCGTGTTCTGGTGGAGGAACGGCCGTGTCCAGCCCCAGGCAGCTCGACGAGTCCCCCCAAATCAGTGTCGCCGCCGCCAATTGTTTCGAATAAAGGCGTGCGGGGCAAGTCCTCCTTCAAACGGTTGAGCGACGTCCTTCACACTGGCTCCGGCATCGGCGGCAAGAAGGACATGTGGTTCGTTGTGTTCAACGATGTTGTTCTACAGTGCCAGCGCACGGGCACAACCTCGTTACCTCTGGTCTCGGCCACGTACTCGAGAACCAACTCGATGCCTGAGCTTCAGGGCAGATCCAAGTACGCCACCACTGGCCGAAGGAACTCGCACACCAAGCCGAGGAACCTGTACAAATTCGTGAAGGTGAGTATATGGGTGCTTTCTTGTGTACTCTAACCACATTCTTCAGATCGAAACTTGGGCAATCGGCGATGTCGTACAACCAAGAGAGGGCGTGGTTTCGATGGAAGAGTGCGTTTGTGTGCGGTTCAGCCAAGCATGGAAATTTAACATATTTGCAGTGTCGCGCGAAGCAGAGCTCAAATGCAGCAACCCCGAATCGTTCCAATGCCTGATGAGGAGGAGGAGGAGAACACTGATTCGGACGATTCGGACCGGAAGAGCAAGATGAGCTTCTCCTACTGGGGCGCAGACAAAATCACGGTCCAGAAGCCTGTGATGAAAGGCAAAGTGGCTATCCCATCTGTCAGGCGTGGCGCAGCAGCTGGTAGTGCGTACAGTCGGGAATCGTCTGCGAATGCCAAGTTCGGGACCCGTCTTGTGTCTGCTGATTCGTCCCCCACCCCTCGCCCCGCCAGCCGGAGAACGGCGACAACACCCACCTCGCGTCGACCGGCAGTGGACGACAGCAACGTGAATTATGCCAAAGCCCGACCCGAATGGAATCGATCGCCGGTGCCTGTGGCTGTCAAGCGGTCGCGCAACACCTCTCAGACCAGTGCGGCGGCAAGCTCGACACGATTGGCGACGAGCAAGGGTGTGGCATCCCCGGCTCCGTCTGAGGACTCTGGTGTCGGTCTCTACCGACAAATGCTGGCTCAGGACCCGACCCTGAGCCGATCGTAGTATCATATCCCATGTCGTACCACAAAACGCACACACATTCACTCACTTACCATGCTTTCCCGCTGCTCGATACGAAACACTCCTTGATAATACCACCTTGATTTATTCCACGACCCAGCATGATAACCACATTAATATTCGTCGGCCACCTATTTACTTTGCTAGATTTATCCCATGTAGCGATTTTGGAATTCTCTTCAGGACTCGTATGCTGCGTTGTGGATGCTGACACTTCTCCCTGAAGGATCCGAGGCGCAGCCCCAGTCGCCTCTCGGAATCCAGCGGACGGCAGTGCTGGCGGCGGCCTTGGTCGGGTAGAATTCTATCCAGATGTCAGGTCAGACCCTATCGGGATTGTAGCTGCAGTCGGTCATACCATCGAAGATTTGGCGGATAAAGTAAGCCTCCTTGGTGGCAGGAACGTCTGAGGGCCATCGTTCAGCGCCTTTGGCAAGGTCTTCGTCCGACACCGCGGATTCCGCGTAATCTTTGATACTAGAGAGCGGTCTCAGACATGGTCTTCTCGTCCCAGATAGGCGGCTTACCCATCGATCCAAGAGTAGCCCACTCCATCAGAAAACTGTTCCTTCTGTCTCCAGAGGATCGATGCAGGGAGGTAGGGCTGCTCGCGACGTGTCAAATCAGATGATTCAAGCGAAGCGAAGAAGCTCACCTTCCCATCTACGGATACGTCGAACGCTTTCCGTATGATGTATTTTTCCATGCGAGGTCTGCCATCCTCGTCAACCTGTTGCTCAGAACCTTTCTGGAACATCTTTTCCCGGGGGTCGACATTCATCGCCGCCTCAAGGAAAGACTTGTCCAGGAATGGGACACGGGCCTCCAGACCCCAGGCCATGGTCGACCTGATGAGCGTACGTCAGCAGAATGGCGATAGACATGATCGCTGCACCGACGCACTTGTTGGCACGAAGACAATCGGAGGTGTGCAGGTTCTTGACACGTTTGACACACTCCTGGTGGAACGATACGGGATCCGGAGCGGCATGGAAGTACAGATATCCTGCAAAAGATAGAACCCGAGTTCGGAAAAATCGGTCACGAATCACCCACCGCCGAAGATTTCGTCGCTGCCCTCGCCGCTGAGAACCATCTTCACACCCATCGCCTTGATCTTCCGGCTGAGAAGGTACATCGGGGTACTGGCGCGGACAGTCGTTACATCGTAAGTCTCGAGATGGTAGATGACCTCGGGGATCGCATCCAGTCCTTCCTGCACAGTGAACGTGTATTCGTGATGGGTCGTGCCCAGATAGTGGGCTGCCTTCCGTGCCGCAAGCAGATCAGGCGAGTTTTCTAATCCGATCGAGAACGAATGCAGCTGTGGCCAAGCAGCAAGCGTCGCTTAGAGACATTAGACATGCGAAGATTGGGCCGATCAGGGGAAACATACCTTGCTCATCGATCATCCCTGTCGGAGTCGTGTTGCCGCTCATCGCAGTCTGCAGCTTGCGTTTCCGTATCTCGTACTGCGCTTGTGCGGCCTTTTCCGTTTCCCTGGACGCTATTGCCGCGATCAAACTGCTATCCAACCCGCCGCTGAGCAGTACACCGTAAGGGACCTCAGACATCAATCGCTTGCGGACAGCAGCCTCGAGTGTTTCCCGAAGGAGCGTCAGGTCCGCCGATGTAGTTGGGATGGTCGCTGCCGGTCCCTCTGCATCTCCTTGCCACCACGACGGCGTGTAATATCTCGTTGTAGAATCATCCTTGCTGTCATAGACGTGTCCTGGAGGAAACGAAACGATTTTGTCGCATTCATCGACCAGTGCCTTCAGCTCGGACGCGAAGAAGACAGCCCCAGGACGCTTCGAATCCCAACCTTGGTACAGCGTCGTGATTCCGATGGGATCTCTTGCGGCGATGACCCGGGAGGGAGTAACAGATTCGTCCAACAACACGAAGGAGAACATCCCATCTAATAGGCCACACAGTTGCTTGTCGTACTTCTTGTACTGATAGAGGGATTGAGCACCGTCCAAGATAGAGGCAGATGTGAATTACTAATGGGAGGATGACTTCACAGTCAGAGTGGGTCCTGAACTTCATGTTGGGCCCCAGGGACTCGCGCAGAGCGATGTGGTTGTATATCTCCCCGTTGACAGTCAACACCATCTTCCCGTCTTCACTTAGTAGAGGCTGCGCTCCGGTATCTGACAATATTTCAAATTTCGGTAAAAGGGCCGATCGAGAAACTCACCAACACCGACTATAGCCAGACGCTCGTGCACCAGGATGGCTTGCTTGCCGACATGACATCCTGACCAGTCGGGCCCGCGGTGTCTCAACCGCTTGGAGCATGCAATGAATCGCGCGCGATCATTCGCCGCTTTGTCGATTCCGTGAACAGCGAAGATTCCACACATACTGGTTGGAGACAAGAGTTGAAGACGAAAGGGTGAGTGAGTCAATTTAAAACATGTCAACTGTCAAAGATAAGATTTGCGCAACGTCTTTTGATCGCCCGATAATCAACAGGGTGGGCAGATGTGCATCATGATGACAGGTGTATTTTACGTTTTCACAGCCGCGCTGCGCTCGTCGCACTGTTTCTCATCATCCCTCCACCATGCCGCGCCGAAGATCAGCACCTGTCGACGTAGATGCTGAGGAAGCGCTTGGTCTAGCAACCGCGCAGTCTGAGAACGTGTTCCTTTTTGTCCCTAATCTCATCGGCAAGTTTCCAGCGCTGCCATATTGGTTGGCCTTACTCATGGTCGAGCCACTCTCGTATAGGCTATGCCCGTATTATTCTCGCCGGGTTCTCTTTGCATTTCATGAGCTATCATCCCATCTATTGCACGATTCTATACTGTGTCTCGTGTCTTCTTGACGCCGTTGACGGGCAAGCTGCGCGCGCACTTGGGCAATCGTCAAAGTTTGGGGCTGTTCTTGATATGGTCACAGACAGGTCCGTTTACCCACACCACCAGAAACTCTTGTTGAACCGAATGATTTCAGGTGCACCACATCTTGTTTGCTGTGCTATCTGTCTGCCGCGTACCCCGATTTCGCGCTCGGTTTCCAGCTCCTCATCTCGCTCGACTTCGCAAGCCATTATATGCACATGTATAGGTGCGCTGCTGCATTAAGAGTCGCGATGCTTATGTTTAAACAAACGCAGCTCCTTGGTGACCGGGTCGAGCAGCCATAAAGATATCAACGACGACGTCAGTAAAATTCTGGGATGGTATTATACCAACAAGGTCGGACCAGAAGCTCTTCTGAATCCTTAACCGGTCTGATACATGATTCAAGGTCAACCTCTTCCTGGTTTGTGGAGGGAACGAGGTGTTCTACGTCGCTTTGTACCTCATGAAGTGGACCTCCAAACCCGCCGGCTTCCCCGTATGGCCAGAACTGACGTATGCCGAGCTCCTCGCTCTTGTGACGCTCCCGGTCTGCGTTGTCAAGAACATCATCAATGTTGTACAATTGTGGAAGGCATCCAAAATCCTCGTTGGGGTGGATATTGCAGAACGAAAGAAGAAGAGGAAGGCATGAGGGGTTATACATTATTTTACATAGATATCCAATAAGTTCTCGACAACGAATCCTGATTGAGCACGAAACGGAAGTCACAAGCAACTTGGATATCTGAAGCCCAAATTTGAAGTTCAACGTGAGCTCAGAGCTAAACGCAAAATGCAAGGCAACTCATTCTATCACGTGCCGACACTTTTTTGGCTGACGCCAAACTGACGCGCCGGTCGACTCAACCACCGCTGGATGCGCTCTCAAACCTTCATACAGCGCTCTAGGTCAATATTGAAGACAGCCAGGGCCGCAGTCTCAATCCGTGCTGCCGGGGCCAGTAGCGCAAGACCAACGAGACGAACTCCGCTCTCGAAGCCTTCGCCCTACAGTAAACGCCTATCCTCTACAACCCCCGTCGTCTCCAGCGAAGCCAGTCCGGAGGATGCACCGGATGCCTCAGAACCGCCATTAGCATCCGAGCCTCCCTTGGAGCCACCAGAAGCTCCTGAGGAGCCCGAGAAGGCGAAACGTCGGACACGCACAGCGTCAGCTAGAGAGGCGGAGGCGCAGATCGATTTACCGGAAGGATTGGGTTCTCAAATCTTGTGGCAACCCGATTCCGACCCAGGACAGTCGCATCAGTCAGCACTCCCGCCACCTGAACTACTCGACGAGGCGCTGCATAATTTGCACATAACTCTGCATCCCCAGACCCAGCATCGGGCAGCATGTGAGTTATGATCGTTTTTCACGTTGTCTGTCTCCTGACCGGATTCGGCAACAGATGCGTCGCCTCTCGGACCGCTTGTCGACCCGACGCTTGCGCTGTATTGCCCCGTCGGTCGGTGTCTCCTCAGTTGTTTCGTCGTTCTTTTGCGGACTCAGTCTTGACAGAGGGCGGAGAGTACGTTGTTGACGCAACGGTGCGTGAACTGGCGCGGAGGACGGGTGCCGAGGTTCTAGTTCTGGATGCGGTACAATTGGCTGCAGGGGAATGGGGAGTGTTCGGCAAAGGTGCATGACCTTCTAGGCTCCTCAATGATGAAGCTCACATGTTCAGCTGCCAATTCTTTGCAACTGACCCGGAACCCGTTGCACTTTCGATCACCTACAATAACATCGAAGACATTAGCGTCGGAAGAGGATGAAGAAGACTCTGACTCCGGACCTTCTTTCAATCCGACTCAAATGCTGCTGACAGTGCTCAATCCTCAATCCGGGCGCAGTGTAGTCACGCCTTCACGTCGCAGTGGTCCGCCCAGCAAGATACAAGTGTTTTTCGACACAATTGTTAACTTGTCCTCATCTGAGGATGGGCCACCAAAACCGCGGCTGATTTACATCCGAGGCAGGTATATCTCCGGTTTGGATCATGGCACAACTCATCTGTTCCCAGATTTTACCACTTTGGCTCCGACAACCTCGGCATGGTATCCATACTTGCTCTCGGCCGTCCGGGAACGGCGGAGGAGGACATTGGCGCGCACAACCTCTCCGGTAACGCATCCTGTGACTATTGTCTTTGGAATGACTCCTCCCCTGGTCCCACGAGCGTCTTCGGCGACCACCGTGCCCTCTCCGCAGCCCCCTCACCGCTCTGCGGGGTCGCGAGTGGCCGACTCGCACTGGAGCGAAGACGATGCCAGCGACAAGGCACGGGAAAAACGCCTGCGCGAGCGTCTACGTCGGTGGGACAAAGATGACGGGCTGCGGGAGGATCTGTCGAAGTTTTCGGCCGTCTTGGATAGCCGATCAGGGCGTGAGCCTGCTGCTGGAATCCTGATCGTACGAGGCTCTCAAGGATCGGTCATCGCCCAACCCGGCGCAAATGACGACAGAAGCGAATCTGGTGCCGACACAGACTCGCTTTTCTTCCGGACAACCATCATTGTACCGGGTACGCGTTCGCCAGCAGATGAACGCGTATGCCGAGTGACAAGGCGGCGGGAGATCAACGAGCTGACGATGCGTATGTCGATTGGCGGGATCGGAGGCCTGTTGGAAAACGGGAGTGTGATTGCTTCGCAGGATGAAATGGCCGACGATCTGCATGGAATGTGGGAAGACTGGGGCAATCGCATCGAATTATGGTCAACCGTGCGATTGGTAGCCGACAACGCTCTCGGACACGTGGTTGCCACCACCTCACCAACCCCGTCTCTAGATCCTACTCTCGTCAACTGGTCACATGTTGGCAGCGCTTGGGCTGCCCATCAACAACGACAGTCGCTTCGCAAAGCATGGATGAAGGATGTGTCCAAGTCTGCCCAGCCTCTTGAAGAAGAAGCAGCAGAGAATGAGACGGCCGAAGAGCAAGTTGTCGATGAGCTGGTGGAGGCCTTGAAGAACGACGAGGACCTGGAGCCTCATGAACAGCGGCTCGTTGCGTGTATTGTGAAACCAAGTTTGTTCTTTTCCTTTTCTAGCTGCAATTATAAAGACTGATTCCTTCAGACACAATGCCCACTGGTTTCGGCCAGGTGCACCTGCCTGCAGCTACAGTCGACGCCATCCGGACGATTGTCTCGTTGCCGTTGCTGCATCCTGAAGCATTCCAACAGGGCATTCTCAAAGAGCATGCTATGACCGGCTGTCTGCTCTTCGGTCCCCCGGGTACCGGAAAGACACTGCTGGTCCGTGCTCTTGCGAAAGAGGCGGGATGTCGCATGATGGCCATCTCTCCTTCCGATATCATGGATATGGTATTACCTCTCTTCCTCTCCCGAATCACTTTTTCTCACCGATCGCTCTAGTATGTCGGAGAGGGGGAGAAACTGGTCAAGGCGCTCTTCTCTATCGCACGTAGAATCGCTCCCTGTGTCATCTTCCTGGATGAGATGGATGCTCTGTTCTCCGCCCGAGTCTCTGCCAGAGATCGGGGAGGAGGTGCCCTCGCCCACCGAGGGATTCTGACTGAGTTCATGCAGGAAATGGATGGACTGCGTTCGTCGAAGGATGACAGCGTCATCGTCATCGGTGCGACAAATCGGCCTTTTGATCTAGACGACGCTGTTCTGAGGCGGCTGCCTCGCCGCTTGCTCATCGATCTCCCGGGTGAAGCCGAGCGAGCAAGTTTGTGTCCTGCTTTAAGCCATCTTTATTCTTGTTCATTTCATTTCTCTAGGCATCCTTAAGATTCTGTTGCGGGACGAGCAGTTGGACGCCGATGTTGATATTCAAAGCATTGCTAAGAAAACTGAGGCGTTCTCCGGTTCAGATCTCAAACGTCGGTCATCTACCAGCCCCCGCAGACCTGGATTCTGACACGCTTTGTGATAGATCTTTGTGTTGCGGCCGCTGTTGATGCAGTGAAAGAGAATCTGGTCTTGCCATGGAAGGCGGCTACGACGGATGACATCAAGCAGCCTGCGTCTGACCAATCTGGATCCGAAGCGAGCTCGGCGGAGCACTCCGAATCGGCCACTCCAGAATCTGAAGGAGCACAGACCTCCGCTGAAGAGACGGTGCCCCCTCCAGACCAGGCCCCGCGAATATTGTATCTCCGTCATTTCACCAAAGCACTCGCCGAGATCACCCCGTCGTCTTCGGAACATCTGGGCAGTCTCGCTGAGCTGCGCAAGTGGAACGAAGAATTCGGGCAGGGCCGGGACACCAAAAAGCGACAACAGCCGTTGTGGGGTAAGGGCCGATTCGGCTTCGGGGACCCAAAAGCGAGTCCTCCTGCACCAGAAGAAGGGCGCGTTCTCCCATTAGACACGGGTCGTTCATAGCATCATTAATAGACGGCATACTAGACTATTGACCAATCTATCTACTGATTCGCTCGCGATCGTCGTTTGCCTTTAGGTGTCTCTTGTTCGTCCTCCTCGACATCCATAGAATCATCAACTCGCCCCCTGCCCTGACGTTTTGGCTGACTAGATTCTGCTGCATCTTCCTCTGAGTCGTCCTCTTCGTCCTCGTCATCTTCATCGCTGTCCTCGACCGACTTTCTCACTCGTCTCTTCCCGTCGTCGCCGTCTCTGACAGCACCCTCTCCAACGGGAACCATACTTTCGACATCTGAGGGCCAGTCTTTGCCACACTTGGGACAGGTCCTCCGGGAAGACCTCTTGCCCATACAGTGCCCATGGAAGTGAGCATCACAGTCTGCAGCAGGGCAGCCGACACCTTTGGTCACCAGCTAAGCCCGACGGTTCGTCAGTTCCCGTCTGCGGTGTATTGAAGGACTGTCTTACTTCTCCACAGCTGGGTCTCGAACAGGTCAAGACCTCATCCGCATACGCCGCTCGTAAGTACAAATCCAGTTCTACAAGTGCGCGCGTAGCTAGAGAGTATCGACCCCGCCTAAAAGTAAGTACGTGAGATCGATCTGACAGACGTATGCAGGATAGACGCACCTGCTTCTCAGCAGCCAACCTTTGCCAACGAAGCTGGACAGAACAATCTCCGCCTGTGTCTTGGTCATATTCGACTTGGGTTTGAGTGTGCTGACTTCGCGAAGAGCTGCCATGGATGATATGGAGAAGGAATGCCGCGGCGCGAGTATGATTTGCTCAATCTGTTCATCCTCAGACACATGTTGTGAAGAGACTGCTTTTGGAACTGACGAGCGCTTTGAAAAACGCGATCTCGCCCGGCGTGTAGTCTGTAGCGAGCTGGGCGATCGCATCGTCTTTGCGGTTCACCTGGGCCGGATTACATCAATTTGACGCGTCGAGACGTATGGAAGAGGAAGCGCACCATGGCGAACATCTTCCGGCCGTTGCTCTCATCCAAGACACCGCGGAACTCTAGATCGAGAGGATTGAGGGAGTCGGACACTCCGACAAGAAAATCCTCCCAAGTGTCATCCGAGAGCTCAACGCCGTCCTCTTCGGATGTTCAGGCGGGATCACGACGCGTCGAGAAACTCGAGTACGCACCCTGAACTGCTTCGCGACATTTGCTCCATAGAGTTTGAGCCAGCTTGTCGGAAAGAATTCCGCGCGATAGCACGGCCTGAAGAAACAGCCGTTGCACATCCTTTGGACGTGAAGTCATTTGGCTGTATGTTGTATCAACAAGATGAGAGATTCGTCGCGTGGATCTGCTAGGGCGACGAGGGGGTGGGTCAAGTCGAGTCGCGTAAACAACGCGGTCCAAACAAAGAATGTACTTCCGAAAGGGGAAAGGACGCGCTGCTTCTCACCCCACAGGGAAGAGCAAGGAAGTAGGATTCATATATGTAGGAGGATGTACGCTTATACTTCGGTATGATAGGATTGTCTCTCATATTTTCGGGACACGTAGAGTCTTGCTGACCATAGCGGCGGCCCAGCATCCAAACACAGCGCTCACAATATGCAGTTCTCCTCGTCCTCCAGCCTGTCCCCACAACACCATTTTCCCCAGGGGTATGCCCTGCTGGCCCTCGATCCAGCCTTGCTTCGTCCAGTATGCCAACACGGCGACAAGAGCGAGAGAGGAAGGAATGGGGAGCCCTTCAAAGTACTTGGCTTTGCCTGCACCATCCTTGGGAATGAGTGCAACCGTGGCATTGAAGCGTGCGAGACGAGCAAGACCGCAGCAGATAAATCCAGCGAGGATAACGGTATCGAGGTACGTGCGCAGCCCAACGACAAAGGCTAATAGAGCGGGAGCGACGCCAAACGAGATCTGACAGGAACGTTCAGCGAGTGGATTTCGCGGAGTTCATGTAGAACAGGACGAACGAGGTCAGCCAGACTGTCCAACTCCTGACCGAGCATGCTACTTGATTTTCTCCATCGTGCAACCTTGCCATCGAAAAAGTCGAACATGAGACCAGCAAGAGGGAAGGCCAATGCAGACCACAGATAATCGATGTCGTTGTTCACTAGGTAGTGCGCCGATGAGAATATGGAGAAGGAGCCGCAGACACCATTCATGATGGTCACAAGGTCCGCAAGACGAAAGTTCCTGAGTGAGGATGAGCAAAGCCCATGCGGAGGTTGAGCTGGGTGTACCTGACGAGGGAAAAATGTCCCTCCGAGTCCTTGTACTGCTGCAGAGCATCGGCACGCGACTCCTTCTGAGATTTCTGGCGGACGCTCATGGTGGTCGTGGAGGTCGTGAATGGGCGGTGGATCACATGATGTCATGACGCAGGATGGATGACGCGCTATCCATATCCGTCCAACCACTGCACTGGATACAATCATACAATGACGACTGTACAGCGAGATCTCATCCTACCACCATCTTGATCTCTTCCTTCTCCTTCGAGAGCTCCATGCTCTTTGCTGTATACTGATTTGGATGGGTCACACTCTCCCCGCCTCCGATTCCGTCACCCTTCTTCACGCCATGTCCCGCATGCGTGATCTCGAACACCCTGGTGCAAGCTACATGGAAATGGCTCTGTCGGACCTGATACATGACCTCATTCAAGTCAGCGGAAGTCAGCCCCATCGACCCATATGAAGACATGAGCGCAGACTGGAGATTGTCTTCTGCAAAGTGCCTGAACGGGCAGCCTGGATCGCCGCCAGACGTCAGAATTTGTTGGCAACTAAAATACGTGCTTTAGCAGAAAGCACTGGACAGCCAAGGAAGCGGAGCATACTTCTTTGCCGGATAGTTTGCCCTTTTCCCTTCGAGGCCGTAAGTGTGCCGTATGTTGTAACGATACATTTTGTTGAACGTGTCGTCGGTGATCCTGTCAAATGACTTGCGCCAGAAGACAATCGCCTCTTCCACGGAAAGCCCCAATACCTGTGATTCACATGAGCCACATGAAGGATTAATTATGAATGCAAGCAAACTTTGAGGAAGAGACCGTATTCCAATCTCCCAAAGTGCTTCAAGTGGTGATCACGTCGCAGTTTCTGATGTGTATTGCGCATGCACATTGGGAAATGGTCGACTGCCAATTGATCAACCATGTCAGCTGTGATAGCCTCGCCGTTGGCATTAGCCGGGCCAGAGCTCCATTGAGCAGAAATTCCGGCTTCGAAGCCACGGGACAGGTTGTCCAGAATGTTTTTCAGTCGGGTATCGTCGTCAATGCGCGGCAAGGTTCGGGCAGTCGCCTGCCAAAAGTCAGTGTTCATCCACAGCGAGAACGGAAAGCCAGCACCTTGAGGTCTCGATCGAGATGTTCTTCGTATTCTTGATAGACAATGCTCGATTGCTCGCGACTTGGCACGTACGCCCAGCCGCCTTTCAGGAATACTTTGCGCTTCTCTACGAGATCCGGAACGCTCGTCCATCGCACCTGTGGGAGATTCAGAGGACTCGATGTCATGAGACGCAGCCGTGGTACCTTGTAATACTTTTCCGCGTCGAACGTTTCGAAACGACCAGAGTATGATAAGAGCTGCTCCTTGTATGTTTCCTTCTCTTTCGGGCTCACCTGTGCTTCCCTGAGACACAGTGGACAAGAAAGATTCAATGTCAGCGCACCGATTGAGATTTCAGGTCTCTCGAGCTGAGAAATCTCTCCCGTTCGGAACTGTCGTCCGTTTCGTAGCGAATCTTGAATAGTGTGCATTCTGCCTTGACAAACCGCCGCCGAAGCTCGTCTCTATATGATATCAGTCCAGATAGCTCAGGTCACAAGAGAGCAGACGCACGATCGGCAGAAGGCCAGTCTCAGCACAAAGTGACCCAAGTGATCCGCTCTGCGCTGTGCCTCTTTGTCCGCACCCAATGCACTCGAATGCTTGAGGGGCAGGTATTTCTCGCACTGGGCAAGTGTCACCGTCTTCGTTTCCTCCCAGGTCCTGTTCCGCGCAGCAGACGACTCAATCTCCGCCAAGACGCGTAGTCTGTTGAGTGCCGATGTCTCGAACTCTTCTACTGTCACGTCGAACAGTGGTGGTTTGTCGTAGCTGCGAGAAGAGTCACCGTCCAGGTCAGAAACGGCAAGCTCAGGACGCACAAGTTGAGCCTGAAAGGATAGTTCTCGTGCTTGTGGAGTTCGACAAGATTGTTTTTGCTGTCTGACAGGGTGCGCTCCTCGATCTTGAACATGATATCTGGTAGCAGCGGGGGGCGGTCACAAACGCGTAGTGTCACATTTGTCGCATGTCCATCACGTGGAGAGGGTCCTGCCCTTGTCATTGGCATGAGTGTACATGGATTCCTGTATTTACACTTGGAGGTAGGGATATACAGAAGTCCGTAGATGAAGGCGCATACCCGTGCGCATGAAATCAAATAATCAATATCCTCGACGAAGACGCTCGTTTTCTTCCCTCAACCTCTTGTTCTCTTCCCTCAGATCGCGCAGATCGCCGACATACTCATCCATAAGCTCTCGCAATTCCTTCTTCCATCCGCGACCCATTCTCAGCATATCTAGGTGCATTCCGACCATCTCCGCCTTCTGTTCTTGGTGCAAATCGAACATGACGTCACGAACAATGTTTCGCAAGAATTCTTGCGCTCCTTGTGCAGATGGGTTTCCTGGAGATGCAGGTATGGCGTTCCTCAAGGGAGAGGGTGCCCAGTTATTAGAAGCCATTGCTGGTATTGATGGTCTTCGGGGAGAAATCTGTATCGAGAGACTTTTTTCTCGCTCCGCTTGCTCGTTCTCTTCATCTGCGTCAGGCTCATCTGCCTCTCTGAAGAGCACGGTTTTCCCCTTGTTTCGCTCCTTTCCCTCTTGGGGGGTCTGTAGATGGGCAAAGACTTTGCCATTGCCAGCAGGCGTTATCGGTTGCGCGGTGAAACTGGGAAGATCGGGTGACGGCGTTCGGCTCATAGGCGCTGCAGCGGCGGGGGTTTTCTGAGATATAGACGAAGTTCTTCGCGAGGTCGCTGCTCCAGGTCGCAGAGTCGTTGAAGTGGCCATCCGGCGCGCTTCTGACCGCGCTGAAAGGGACTCGGTTGCAGAGATCTTTCGTGGTCTAGTCGAGACGCTCTCCTCCTTCTTGTGGCCTGCGACATCGCGTAAACATCGGTTCGATCTTTGAGACATGTGAGGCTTACTGCGGACTCGCTCCCTGACTCCGTTTGACGGGGACAAGACCTTGGAATGTGCGTTTGCTGGCGGAGACAGCAGTTTGCGGGAAGACACGCCGGCCAGCTTTTCCTTTTCGGTCCGGCGCTTTGCTGGAGAAGGATCCTGCTGTCCTTTGACCTCGAGAGTCTTAGGCTTCGTCGTGACCGCAGGCTCTTTCGCAGTAGAAAGTGGTTTCGCTGTCGATTCCGGAGTTTTTAGTTTTCTCTGAAATGTTGCGTTCATTATCATATCTCGTGTCATTTCTCTGAACACTCACCTGGACAGATATCGTCTCTACCGGGGATCCATCCTCGCTTATGATCACTACCTTGGGTGGTTTGTCCAGTGCACGCAGATCCAAAAGCAAGAGTTTGCCCGATGCCGTTCCAAGGTAGATCAATGAACCATCTTGAGAGAACGTGAGGCAAGTCAGTTCAACTTTCAAGTTCAATGTGCGGAAAAGCCTGTTTTCAATGATTCAAAAGATGGCAAAACATCGTGATGAAACGTACCCTTTCTCCTTCTCCAGATCGACAAGCGAAACGCATCCGTTGGAGCTAGCAGTGGCCACCAAGGTTTTCGAGAAGGGACTGCAAGAAATAGAGACCAGAGGATCTACGCTGGCGTCGTTGAGACTAATAGTCTTCAAAGGACTTGAAGGACGTGTCGTTTCGTAAACGAACAGCTGCTTTCCGGCACCCACAAGAAGTCGTGTCCGAGTGTGAGGATGAAAAGCGCACGCCGTTACGCATTGCCCAGCAGGTAGCTGAAGACCCCGGAGGACGGTATGCGAGTTGAGCGAGAGATTGTGAATGTGCACACCGGACGACGAGGCCGATGCTAGCAAATCATTCGAGCTGGAAATGGATATTGTCGTGATGGGAGATTTGTGGACTTCGATTGTCTGCGTGATCTTGGTTGATTCGAGGACATGGATTCTCTCCGCGACCGCGAAAACGAGGGAATCTTTCCCTCGCGACAAGAGATGCGATATGTTGTTTCCAGAGGATACCGTGTATATCTCAGCAAGAGAGTTCAGGAACGGGTTGTATCGGTGTACAGTGGCACCCGTCGCCAGATTGAGACTCGAATTGTCTGGTGCCCATGCAGCCGCCTGACACGACGCCAAGAGGGGTAGGCAAGGCGAAAGAGACGATGGAGGTTGTTTCAGACTGGCTGAGTCGGCCAGGAATAGTTGTCGGGATGCGGTAATTGCCTGCATAATCGAGCGCAGCACTTGAAAGCAGGAAGGAGCAACAGTCACGGTCGTTACTAGGTCACTTGAACATTCAAGCCTGCTCGTCAGGTGACCGCATCTCCTTCACGTGATCTCATTTTTCCTTTTCCGAAACCGACACCCACTGGAAGTTCCGTCCAATATGCCTTTCTTCCTCGCTGGCGACGAGCTCGGGACGATCAGGTCGATCAAATATCAAGCAGGATCGCCGCTGGAGTCTGAAGTGCTGAATACCTCGACGTCGGGCTCCGCTGTTTCTTCGATCTCCGTGGCCTCATCTTCAAAAATTGTTACGGCAGCCTACGCGGACGGCTCCCTTGGGTCGTTTGTACTCGAAGATGAGAAATTGGAACCCACCAGCCAGTGGAAAGAAACGCGTATCAAATCAGGACAGACGTTTGTCGGCTTGAAGACGACCGACAAGTGTGTGTGCTTTGTATCCGCTAGAATCATCTCTGATCCCAGGCAGAGGGACATACTCCTGCACATCAAACGGTGCATTGCGCCTGGCTTCACTGGAAACACCCGGGACGGAGGCTAGGCTGGCGTCATTGCCCTCACGGTTATGCGACTGGAAACTTTCGACCGATCAGTCCACATTCTCTTACGGCGGAGACGAGGTGGAGCTCTCCGTCTGGGATACCGAGAAGGCTTTCTCTCCCACAGAAAAGCTGGATGCCAGCAAGCGGAAGCGGGACTCATTATTCCCTGGGGAGATCTGGAGAGCGAAAAATGTCTCGAACGACGGGTTGGGGCTCCGACAGCCCGTCAAAATCACCTCTCTGGCGTATCTTTCGACCACCTCACCTAGGCAAAACATCGTCACCGGGACCCAACTCGGAGATGTCCGAATGTACGACACTCGAGCGAGGAAACCAGTCACGAACTGGAAAGGAATCGCTAAAGTGGGCGGCGTCAAGCTCGTTGAGAAAGGTTCAGTTGAAAAGTGGGTGGTCTCAGCTTGTTCACTCAAAATGTCACCAATGCGCCTCATCAGCGAGATCTTTGTTGGCGATCACGGCTGTAATCTTGCATCGGTAGATCTAAGAAATGGGCGGATACTGTACTCATACAAAGGTGACCCCGCCTGTCCGTTTTCCTACTCAGCTTTCTGAACTTCCTGCCAGGAATGTCGGGTGCGGTGACATCCGTGGCAGTGGCTCCCTCCCTGCTCGTTTCGTCTGCTCTCGATCGTTACTGTCGCATCCACACAACAGCTCCTCCGCCGACTCAGCCGGGTCAGAATCAGGAGACAAAAGGCTCAGTCGTCGACAAAGTGTTCCTGCCGAGTATCCCGACGGTCGTCGCTTGGAATGGCATCAGTGATGGGCCGCTGTCCCCAGGGTCTGAGACGGAACATGCAGAAGAGGACGATGTTTGGGAAGGAATGCAGGATGTCGAGGACAGCGCAGACGAGGCTGAAGCTGGGGGGCGGAAGAGACGTAGGACAGCTATCTGAGATACATTCTGATCACTCGGTGCTTTGTTGCTCAGCAACAACTGAGTCTAGAGCACAACATATTAGAGTGATAAGAACATATAAATAAGTATCTGTAAGTAGGAGAAAGCGAGGATGGTATCAATTCCCTGACCAGCTTCGTTCATAGTTTGTGCTTGATCCTGCAGTGGGATGAATCAGACCGAACCACTCAGGAGTAATTCATCTGAGCTTACTCTTTCTTGGCGATGCGAAGAAACTGGGAAGTGGGAGTACCGCTGCGAGTTTGAAATCAGGGAACGTGGGTAGATTGTAAATGGGATCATCCGGACCTGGCAAACCGCTCTGCTTGCGCTTGTCCTCTATGAGCACACAGACTTGGATTCACAAAAGGGACGCTGCGCTCACCATAACTTTCTCGGAGATTGACCGCGTCTGGGTTGTTCTTCTCGGACAGACCGGCACGGATGAGCTTCTTGACGGCCAGGACCGCGGTTGGGTCGAGCTCTCGCATGTCCTCAAGGATGATGTCCCGGACTTCCGCGTGAAAGTTGGGAACGGCCTGCAGAGGAAGTACCTTGCTGTGAAACGGTGAGTGAACAAATCCACAGAGGCATCGTAGAGAGGCAATACTTGACGAAACCACACTCGTACAGGTCCTGCGCCTCCTGCTTTCTGCCCCAGATCAGCACCTCGTTTGCCTTTGCTAGACCCACTGGGGACGAGTGAACGTTGAGTCAAAGATGGGACGACGTTGCAGCATATACTCACTCCGGTTCACGAAGGAGACGCTCGCTCCGCCCTCGGCCACTATGCCGAGAAATGTGAATGGGACGGAGAGCCAGGCATTGGGCATGCAGTAGATGAAGTCGAAGTATCCAAGAAAGGCTGCGGTGCGAGATCAGTAAGAACCGTGCGGAGTGAGCGCCAACGAGAGACCTGCTGTGATGCCTAGTAATGCATAAGAGATGGTAAGTTCTTGCGCTGCAGTTCGTCAAGTCGTACCCCTGCATACGGGATCGTCAGATTGGACAGCAAAATCGCGCAGCGAGGGGACACTGTTTACATCACGGGACCGTTTAGCGCAGCAACGAGAACTTTGGAATGATTGTATAGCTGCGATCCTCGTTCAAGCCGTCCATTTCGAGACTAAACCGGTGCTAGCAGACATACCGCATGCCCGCAGTCGAGAGTGGTCCTCACGACGGCGTTCAAGAAGGCATTTCGGATCTCTCCATTCAGCTGTCTATTTCCGCTCCGTCGAACGTCCGTGCCGCTGTGGGATTGGAATCGCCATCCGTTGCCAGAGAGAGAATAGGCGTACGCGCAAAACCATTTCCCGGTCGCTTGCCAGACCGTCACGAGGACGTCGTCGCGTTTGTCGATCTCCCTGCAGTTTCCACGTCAAATCGGGGTTCCATGCCGGCCGTGTCAGCCGCTTCACCTGAGCGCGTCCGCAAATGCGGTGTAGTCTTCGGCAGTCAGTGCGTTGAGGCTGGCTGGGCGCTCAAGCTGGAGGGTTGCGATTCCGTCTGCGACGCTGACTGTGAGCGTAGACTCCATAGAGAAAACCGTACGGGACGGCACCATGATAGCCGTCACTTAGTACCTGTGATTTCCAGCCCAGGCACAAAGTGTGCGCGGTAACTGGCCGACAGAGCAAATGAAGAGATTGATACAGTACAGTATTACAGGTACAGAAACACCTCAAGCCCATAAATCAGACAACCTTTTCATCGACTTGGTTAAAATACCGTCCCTCGGGAGAGTCTCCGAGACTTGTTCGATCACCGGTCTGACAAGCGTCTTGACCCGATCAAGTTCAGGACCCGCCGCGTTCTTAGTGATCTGCGCAAACAGCGAGCACACATTCACTCTGACCTCGGCGGGGAAATTGACGGGATTGTCCACATTCCTCAATACAGCAATCAGCATGTCCAGCGCATTCCGAGGGCTGGGAATCCGGCCACGGCCTGTCGGAGTGGCAACCACAGGCGAGCTGAGATCGCTTCCGGAGGTCAACTCGCTACTCGAAGCAGACGGAATCTCAGGCGGCGGCTGAATGTCCAGCGTGAAGATGGCCGTGAGAGCGAGCGGAGCTATCGAAGATGAGCAAACATCGACTGGTCGTCCGGGGCGCTCACCTCCCGAGGCGACTGTGCTCATGAGACTGAGGGCAACAATCCCTTCATTGACCAGCAATGGGTATTTGGCACTGCGCGTGATCAAAGAGGCTAATGCGTAGGCGTTGTCGGACGACAGAACTGCCTGCATCGACTCGTGTCGCTTGCGCTGATTTGCCTGGATCGCCGCCGGAGTGTCAATCCCTTGGAGTGCCGCAGTCGCAGCTGCCTCAACGGGTGTTGCTGATGGATCGTTCGACCACAACGACTTGATTACATTCACCAGCACGCGCGTGCCTTCTGATTTGACAGGTATAGATCTGGTCCGCTTGACAAGAGCCATGATGAGTGATAGTCCCGTGGGTTGCGACACATCTTCTCCCGGCAGAGCCAATGCGAACGTGTTTTCGACTTGCAAGAACCGATCAGGCAAGCCATGGACGTAGATGAACGCGCGACCCACCGTTTGCATTGCACATGTGCTTGACGATACCAATCGCACTGACTTGAACGACGTCAGACATCTCGTCGATCTTCTCGTCCCAGACACCGCTCCTGGAAACATGCTCGATCACGTGTGCATTTGCGAGCGCGTCCTGGATCGCAGGAGATTGCGCACAAGACACCGCCAGGTGCCTCAGGAGCCCAATGACACCATGCTTGACCTTGATGTCCGTCGAAGAGGACAGAAGATGCCGGGAAGTGAGTACATGTGCCAGGGAATGCGGTGGCGATAGCAGAATGAGTGAATTTTTCTCTGTGCTGGATGAATGACATCCAGGACACTGAAAGGCAATGCAACACACCTCTTCTAGCCAAGTTTCCCAGCGACAAGCTCGCACAGATAGCGATATCGTCCCGATGTCCAAAAGGAGTCGCAGGGTCGGGAGTTCTACCGGTTCTCTGGTCCATGTCGGCCACATACCGCTTCAGCCAGCTCACCATCCTGCACACGAACTCTCCACCCGGTTGCTCAGCCGATTCTCCCCAAAGCACATCCTCGTTGCGTTCCTCTCCAGTAACTTCGACCACAACCTTGATCAGCGCCGCTTTGCAATTGTCGAAGACGCGCTCGCGCTTCTTTCGATCTGCCTCGGGAAATGCTTGCTGCCAAATGGGAGGATAGTCTCCGAACTCTATAAAATCCAGTATCGTCGACAGGCAGGGAACGCCGCCGTGCTCTGAATGAAAGACAAATCCCCGCCCGAGAGACAATCGCACGTCTTCTATGTCCAACGAGAGCGATTCAATGAGTACACATGACTCCTCGAGGACGTCAAAGTCTGTCTCGAGTAAGGTTTCAAACATCTCCGAGTGCGGATCAAACACAGAGGACGCTTGGGTGTGAGGTGCGCAGAACGAAGCCAGAACCGGAGTCAGGAGGGACAGAACGTCGTGATTCAGGATTTGGAGGCCTTATGAAGCTCAGCGGAGGAAATGATGACCACTGATGAAAACACACTTTCATCTTTGGTCTCCTTGAGATCAATCACAGTCTTCCAGGCCCAACTTGACACTCCACTCCGCAAAGACCACGATACTTCTTGGTCTCCGAGCGAGATCTCTTCGTCGTTTACAGGCTTTGCTGATAACCAGGCCGCAGGAGGATAGATCGCGTGCGCTAATTTGAGGATAGTCATACCAGCCTCCAGTGACCGTAATCGCGACTTGACAGGATCTGGAGAGAATTCTCAGCCGGGCTGTTCCGTCTGACGAGCAGGGATCCAAACCATAATTCAAACTGACATTCAAGAGGACGCCGATGGCGGTGCGCACCACCTTGAGATGTGGGATGGTGAGGGGTAGTGGTTGGGAGGTCTTCTCTTCCGGAATGGTCTCTGCGTATCCTTCTAGTAGCGAGACGACCGCCTGAGGGATCCCTGCCTCGAGAAGTAGACCCCGGTTCTCATCTACGGCCTGCTATCAGGCACTGTACCCCTGCGTTTGCGAGAGCTAACTGACCGTGGTCTATACAGAGATTGGCCGAGACCCTGAGGAGTTCGAAGAGGGGAGGAATGCGTAGCAGGGTAGGTATAGAGGAACCCTCGAGAGCAGCAGCAATCAGCGCGGCTAATATTTGAGGAAGTGATGTTCGCCCCAGTGGTGTATGATAATCGACTTTGCAGCAGTCAAATGCATTGTCCTTCAGTCTCATAAAATAAAGAGAATCGTACCTGGACCATCCCGAACCCGTAACCCATTCGCCAATGCTTGAGCAGTGTTCTCTACTTCATGCCAAGCAATGGAGCGGGGATGTTCTTGTCCGAGCGTTACAAGGTGTTTCCCAACGGAGAGAAGATCGACTGCCGAATCGCTCATGGATTGCCGGACGCTGGGTTCTTGAAGATCGAATCCTCGAGCCAAAGTAGTTGTACGCAAGCTGTGGGTACAAGATTGTGTTGATGATCTGATACACTTGATGGCTGTGCTGACACCGTCTTTGCTAGAAATACTATTGATCGCAACTGACAGGTGTTTCTGCACCATAGAGGTGTTTTCAGTCGTTAGAGCCATTTAATGCATCTATTGCCTTCGGGTTTTTTTCAAATCATTCCTTATATACTCTCAAATGATTGTGCAAAGTCCGAGAGCAATCGGGCAAGTGCAAAGAATTGCTCGGCGCTGCCGGCGCATCAAATGAGGTGTTCTCAAGCTCATCTCTGTAATTCCAAGCCTCCCGTTGGTCATTTCAGGCCGGGTAAAGACGAGCAATATATTATTAAGTATCTAAATCGTATTCGATACACGCTTTGCTATTCCGGGCTTGCAATGGATGTGAGCAAGAGGAATTACATGTGTGGTCACAATTGTCACACTGACACAGTGATGACAGTGTGATGGCCAAACCGGCAATTGATCTTGTGCTCCCCGAGTCGCGTCAACACTCACAGAAGAAAGAATATAAGTGTGAAGTAGATACATTACATGTATTGACGACATGTGAGAGGTGCTAGACCCAGGTGGAAAGGTCCTCGAGCCATTAGTAGGTGTATAGTTTTATAAGTGTGATGTATAATGTGGATTTCAAGTCCATTGGAAACCAGATGTGTATGGTACAGGAGGCAGGAGTGAGAAAGTCGAAAAAGGATCCAAAACCAATGTGTAAGGTAGCGTAGGCTGCTGAGGAGCCAAGGACGGAGCAATCAGAGGTTGAGATGATGGGCCAGGAATAGGTTCCGACGCCAGACACACATGGCTGTCAATCAACGTGTTTGATGCGCGGAGCTTGAATTGTCACGCTTTGGCTGATCACCCTTGCTCACATCCATTGCAAGCCCGGAATAGCAAAGCGTGTATCGAATACGATTTAGATACTTAATAATATATTGCTCGTCTTTACCCGGCCTGAAATGACCAACGGGAGGCTTGGAATTACAGAGATGAGCTTGAGAACACCTCATTTGATGCGCCGGCAGCGCCGAGCAATTCTTTGCACTTGCCCGATTGCTCTCGGACTTTGCACAATCATTTGAGAGTATATAAGGAATGATTTGAAAAAAACCCGAAGGCAATAGATGCATTAAATGGCTCTAACGACTGAAAACACCTCTATGGTGCAGAAACACCTGTCAGTTGCGATCAATAGTAGATTCACTGAAGGATTATCGATTTTCAGCCGCCGCCGCGACCCAATTCCAAAGCTCACATCATCGATTATCTCTTTCTCTTCATACCGTATCTTAGCGAAAGAGGCGCACTTCTCAGAAGATGTGAGAAAGAAACGCGTTGGTTCGAGCACGGGCACGTGCTGTCGTGCTTCGTTGTTGCCTGGTCACGTGAAGCGTGTGTGAGTATAAACATAAGGCGCGTCGCGTCGGATCGGCCTTTGCACCTCTTTCTCTCTCCAACCTCCACCACCCCTTTCTACTCCGCTTGTATATACGCTCATGGCCCCCAAGGTTATCTTGATAAAGCTACATCCTCAGCTCAAAGTGTTCACACGTCCTGCAGCCTGCCTCCACTGCCGGCAAAGCACCCGCCTCCACTGCCGGCAAGGCACCCGCCAAGGTTCTTACCCGCTGACTTCATCACAACGACCTATCTGATCATCTTTCAGTCTGAGGGCTCGAAGGCCGCTAAGAAAACGGCGACTAAAAAGTCTTCCGCAGCCCCCGCTGACGGCGAGAAGAAGAAACGCAAGAAGGTTCGCAAGGAGACATACTCGTCCTACATCTACAAAGGTCCGTGTGCCACCGTCGTATTTCTTCTGTTCTTATCGCACTGCAGTCCTGCGCCAAGTCCATCCGGACACGGGTATCTCCAACAAGGCCATGTCTATCTTGAACTCGTTCGTCAACGACATCTTTGAGCGGATTGCGTCGGAGGCCTCGAGTACGTTCCGCGCTGCGCTGTCATCTCCCTTGGTTGACTGTCTGCAGAGCTCGCTCAGTACTCGAAGAAGTCTACCATCTCGTCGCGGGAGATTCAGACTAGCGTGCGCCTTATCCTGCCTGGAGAGCTGGCGAAACACGCCATCAGCGAGGGTGTGTCTCCTTCTGAATCACCATTCAAAGCTGGCTCATCGTTGGTTAGGGACGAAGTCTGTCACCAAGTTCTCTTCAGCCAGTACTACAAAGTAGTCACGCGACGCATGGAATGTCTGTATCCTTATTATTGTTTCTATCTACATCAGCTTGTGCATGTAACCACCAACCAATGCAATATGTGCCTTGGAGAGTTTGACTGGCTGACTTGTGCCTCGAAGGTCTCCGTTCGAGTCGATTAGGTGTACTTCGGCCTGAAAGTTGCTTGGTTGCCATACCACTGACCCTTGACCTGTTCGAGAGGTCGATATATGAAGGTGACGGAAGAGAAGAGAGAGAATACCATGTATTTCCAATACACCCATGGGAATAGGTCCTGCAAGAAGCCTCAGCGAGAGAAACAACAGCACCCAGTGCAAGGGCAAACCTTTTTGAAGTGGTAGAATAACCGGTTGCTCTTGGACTGGTCGAATTGACTGCCGAAGCTTTCCTTGGGCTCGAGACCGTACTTAAATTCCGCCAGCATCAACTCGTTGTACCCAGTAAGCAGCTGGGAAAACTCTCAGTGACATTCGACCGGGACCAGAGCGGTAAACGAACCGGGCAGCTCGTGTATCCATCGTAGGCAGCAGAGCTCAGCTTTCCAGAATCAACAACCGAGAAGAGATTCTCGCTGAGAACGGGTGCTTGCGCAGTGATGGCTGCGGCGGTCTTCGAGGTGGGGAGCGACGAGCAGTCTCCGATGGCCCAGATGTTGCCGAATTCGGGATTGGTGTGACGCAGGGTTTGTTGGTCCACGCTGACCCATCCGGTGCTGTCTGCAATGGGGGAGTTCTTGATGAAATCCAGAGGACCCATAGGCGGAGTGACGTGTAGAAGCGTGTAATCGACGCTGACGGTGGATCCGTCCCCTTTCTTGAAGGTTGCCTGGTGCTTGGCATCGTCGATGGACACAAGATTGTGCCCAAAGAACCCTCCCACCCCACGGGAAATACGCAGTTCGTTCAGTTTGTCAGAGTACTTCTTGACGCTGAACATAGAGGGCATGCCTGAGGCCTAACTTCAGACAATACCGCGTCGCTGCAGGACAAGATCGCTGACCGGTGTAAAAATCGACGTTTACTTTGCTTCCGCGATTGCTGCGCCTGTAGCGATCCCAGGCCATCCACATAATTTTCTGGGGGGCTAAAAACGGTGAGACATGGATCGAAGCACAACTGGCACGATTTCTGTACCTCCTGCGCATTTGACCACGCCGGCAGGCTGTGTGAAAATCGCTGTGCCAGAGCGCAGAGCGTCGATGTCGTTCCAGACCTTGTCACATGTCTCGTAGGAGTAGATGGACGAGACTCCGGACGTCGCGTTCATCAACGCTTGCGGCAGACCAGGAATCGCATCCCAGTTGATCTTGATGCCCGCTGCCACAACCAGCGACTCGTAAGAGATGCTGCGGCCCGAGGCGGTGGTCACCGAGGAAGAGGTCGGGGAGAATGTTTGAACGCGGTCAGAAATGAGAGTGAGGTGGTTGGGGATAAGAGATGGCAGAGGCTTGACAGTTTCCGACTTGTTCTTCAGTCCGGCACCAACTAGAGTCCTGTTCCCGGTCAGTTGGATGAGGTATGTTCGGAAGCATGGAATTACCATCCAGGCTGATGAAACTGAATAAAACAATTCCATCTTCAGGGTACCATCACACACCTGGTAGTAATGGCTGTCTGCAGGATCTATAATGGCGACATCTCCAGCATTCAACGGTTTTCCGGCAGACTTGAATCGGTCGAATATTTGGTTCGCAACAGAAAGGCCTCCACTGCCTGAGGAGCGAGCGACATGGTCAGCTGCGGCCGGCTTGCATCGTTGCTGTCACTGACCAGCACCAACAACAAGGATCTTGTACTTTCCGGCTTCAGAAGCGGAACTCGCGAATCGCCTGCCGAAAGAAGATACAGGGAGTCTAGCAGCACCGAGAGGGAGCATTGTAGCCGTGTCTGATTGCTTCGATGACCCACTAGGTCACTCAATACCAAGAGAACAGGCTGCGTCTGTTTCGTGAGTTACTTTCCGAGTGGATTTAAGTACTCCGAAGGGAAACTGGAAAAGGATGAAAAAGCAGCGAAAGAGATCACGCCTCTTCGGGCTCTTCGGCCGACAAGGTGGGTCGTGACCGTTCTGGGCTGCGCATCATACCTATATTCGCCGCTTTTGTCCTTCTACAGTGTGCACCTCCCAGTTGATCTGGGCTGGTCGGTTTCACAGTTTAATTCTTTCCAACTTTTCCAATGGCTTCTCGTTCTCGCGCAGGATTGCCTGCTGGTCCCGGTCCTCGCTCTCGCTCCGTTGCTAGGACCAGAGACAATGATAGCGCACGCCGCTACGACGAAGACAATCGCTCAACCCGCTCTCGAAACGATCATCGCACGGATTACGACTCTCGTTCCCAGCACGATTCACACGAGCGCGAAGCTCGCACACCCCGCCCGTCAGCCCGACAAATACGACCTCAGAAATCCATGAGCTCAGTCAACCAAGGGCGGTCTGGGTCTCAGCCGCCTCCAGCCTCCATGCGCACCCGTCACACAGAGCGACCCTCCGAACGCGAGAGACCGGACTTTGGCGCGCACCGCGGTAGCGACACGTCCACTTCCTCCGCGGCCTCTTCGTTCTTAGATCGGATGCGCGGTTATGCATCTTCGAGGACCAGCCTCGAAGAGGACGAGTCTGAGAAGCCAACGACATCCACGAGAGGTCAACCTGCGCGTGGCGCTTCTCCTGCGCCGGAAGGTACGCCGATGCATCGCGGTGATGGTGACCTTGACACACGTCTGGATAGAACCTGACACCAATGGTGATGGGTATTCGCTTTGGAATCGGGTTGCTTCGGCGGCTGGCTCCCTTACGGTGAATGTCAGCAAGGCATGGGCCACCAATGTCATGACGATCTCTGGTGAAGGTGAGCTCCCCTGTCTCGACGCCTGACCCTCTTCTGAGTAACCGATGCAGAGACTCCACCCGGGCAGGAGTCACGGCTGACCCGCGCTATGAAGTCATATCACATTGAAAAAGCGCGCGATCCGACCGAGCTTCCAGGATGGTTGTTCAGCGAGCAGGAACGCCGGAATCCTGAAGCCGAGCAACGCCGTCAGACAAGCGACCGTTCACATCTGAGCAATTCAGATTCGAGGCAACAGCCTTCTGCAAAGGTTGATCCCCCTTCTCGTGGATTCAGAGACATCTATGATGCGGCGGCAGCATCAAGCTCTTCTCCGCGTAGCCATGCTGATGAGACGTCGACACAGCCTTCGAAGGCGACAGATCGACTGAAGGCACTGCGCGATGCGAAACGTAACGGCGGACGTAGCACAGCCAGAGAGCCGCCAGTCAGCGAGGCGAAGCCCGTCGAAAGGACGTCCGACATTTCCCAGGGACGCCGGCGGGTTGGACTGCCATCGGGACCTGTTTCACGGCGGCTGTGATTTGTCTATCTACTTTTAGCTTGCGTTTGGCCAATGAGAAGGCGTGTACAGAATGTGTGGTATCTAACAATCTGATGGAATAGGGAGGGTCTAGACCGCCCTCCTACAACGCGTCGAGCAATATGAGTGGCCCGCAGCCTCACGCCCTGTTGGCAACTCACCAATCGAGTCCGATCTTTGACCCTCCTCGATTGTTTCAGCCGGCACGGTGACCGGCAGATACTTACTTGCAGTCAGCCTATGGTAAGTACTACCGTGGACAGTTACAACTTACAAGCATGTGTTCTCATCAGCGGCCCGTTAACTTGGTTCACACATTGATGGAGATCGGGTTGTCATGACCGCCGGATATAAGAACGGTCGCACTTCATTGGTAGCCCAGTTCCCTCCCCCCTTCTTCTTTTCATCTCTTTTTTTCGGTCTCCCAGTCGAGACTCGCCTCACTTTCGTTCATTCGAGGCATGTCCGCCCATTCTGCAACTTGATACTCGCTTCTGACCTTGCCCTCCCTTCAGATCGCGCCTCTTTGACAGACGCATCCAATCGCGCAGCTCCTCGGGAAGGCCTATTAGTCGCTTGTTTTCACAGTCTTCACACGCACTCCTCTACGGTTTTCACTTCAAGTTAATCTTCCACGATGGTCCTTATCACTCCTCTTGTCGGCGCCGCCGTCTTTCTCTCCGGCTTCGCTGCCGCTCTGCCGACCAGCTACGGCTCCAACTACGGTAGCTCTTCCGACTCCAGCAGCTACGGTGGATCCAGCAACTCGAACTCCAACTACGGCAGCTCGAACTCGAACAGCTACAGCGGCGGATCCAGCTCCAACTACGGAGGATCCAGCTCTGGCTCCAACTACGGGGGCTCTAGCAACTCCAACTACGGCGGAAGTTCCAACTCGAACAGCTACGGTGGAGGATCCAACAGCGGCTCCAACTACGGCTCGTCGAACCAAGGCACGACCTCCGTTGACAGCACCTCCACCATGATGATGGATTCTACGTCGACCGCCATGATGATGCAGACCACGTCGACCATGATGATGGACAGCTCCTCGACCACGATGATGATGGACACCAGCTCGACGATGATGATGGACAGCTCCTCCACTAGCATGATGATGGACACCACCTCCGTCGATGCTACTTCCACCACGGCTGCTGCGATGACCTCCGCGACCTACGGCAGCGGAAGCTCGTACTGGGGAGGCAGCGGATACCAGGACTGTGTCAACCGTGCGTCAGCCTGACCACAACTGGTGGCATCCACTAATCGTTCCGCAGAGTGTGTCGCCCAATTCGGAGGCATGAGCGCTGGTGGCTCTTACCAGGCGACCGCGACCGCCGGCACTGGTGGCAGCACTGGAGGTGGAAACGGCGCTACCCACACTGTCATCGTCGCTCCGACGAAGGGTGTTCTGCGATTCGTTCCCTTCGCGACCAACGCCAACCCCGGAGACACGATCGAGTTCCGCTGGGGTGCTAGCAACCACACCGTCACCAAGAGCTCTGCGCTGCTCCCTTGCAACAAGAGCTCCGCTGCGCCTGTCTTCGCGTCCGGCGAGCAGAACCAGGGCTTCGTTTGTGAGTGTCCTTGATTGGTTCCATTGGCAAGATCTAATCTCTCTGTAGTCACCCAGGTCGTGAATGACACCAACCCGACCTTCTTCTACTGTGGAACTCCCGGTCACTGCCAGGCTGGTATGTACGGTATCATCAACCCCGCGATGGCTACCAACGGCACCAACTCGACCGTCTCGGCGATGATGTCTTCCATGGCTGTGAACGTGAGTGTTTCATCGGTGACATGCTCGTTTCTTGATACTGATGCGGATGTTACAGAGCTCGAGCCTGTCCGCTTACTCCGCCTACGCTGTCAACGCTACTTCGAACAACGCGGCGGCTGCCTCGTGGGGAGCTAACTACGACATGGCCGCTATCCCCGGCTGGGCGCAGGAGTCCTTCCTCGCTAACGTCATGTTCACCCGTGCTTTCATTGGCATGAACCCGGAGACCAGCAGCACCAACGGTACCCTTGACCTCAGCAGCGCCGCCACCAACCCGATGCACATCCCCGTTGATGTCGGCAAGCTTCTCGATGCCAGCGCCGCCAGCTCGAGCTCCGCGGCGGCGGCGGCTGCTGCCCCCACTGCCCCTGCCCAGGCCGCTGGCACTACCCCCGCTGCCGGTGCCGCAGTTGCTTCCCCATCTCCGTCCAAGAGCGGCGCCTCCGCACTTGCTTCGCCCCGCTTCTTGGTCGCTGCAGTTGTTGTTGCTGCGACTTTCTTCGCTCTCTAAATGACGGACCTTTTGTAACGGACAACGTAGTATTTGGACACTTGCAGATTAACTCATTTGATACCGTTTGACTGTTGATACACTCTACTATTCTGTGATTACGATCTCTTACCTTATTGCTTCGCACACTGGAGACTAGTCGCAACTAGCCCGGTGCTGTTAGGTAGTCGAAAGTGAACGCATTTCTTTTGACTCTAGCCAAAGATAGCATCTATTTCATCCTGTGCTCTAAGAATAGGCTTCTTCGGTATCCTCCTTTTTTCCTTCTTCACGATCACGGTCCGCGTGACTTCGACTGGAAGAGGGGTTGAAACGGTCGTTCATACCGATGCAATAGAAAGACCCACCGATTGCGGTTTCCATGGTCTCTAAATCTTCCTGTAACGATGCATCTTCAGGTGGGGCAACGCTGATCGGAGTAGCCTGGTTGGTTGTCAGCGCCGTGCAAGAGGAAACCAGGGGCTGACTCACCCTGAGCGTGTTTTGCAACAGCCTGATTGTGTCAGAGAGTGCGTCCACATGCTCAACCAGATCAGAGGTCAGTTGATCTAGTCGAGCCGCCAGAGCAGTCAACGTCAGAATGAGATGGATGAATGCGCCGGATTGCATCGCGAGTGATAGTGCACTGGTCTCGCCAATTAGTGCAGAGCTCAGGGCCGGTGGTTCAGTACTGACTGATAGGTGCGCGCAAGTCTTGCACGCATCTTTCAGAAGAAACATGTCAGAGGCGATTCGGACGGTTGAAAAATATCAATGCCTCTTTTAGGAGCATTACTGTATTTTGCAGTCTTTTGAGAGTAAAGCGGAAGCTCGCTTCGTCGGGGAAGTGTGTCCAGGATCCTTTCAAAAGTTTGGGACTTGACTCAACAGTTCAGTTCATGTCTAAGAGAGCAAATCATAAACAGCGTCCTACTTGCTTTGTGCCTCTTGGGGAAAAAATGAACATCGTAGCGATTCAGCAACACAATGAATCGACATCTCTTCGAGCCTGCCAGCGAAACGCTTCATCTCTTGTACGCGCCGCCAGAATAACGCCGATCGGTGTTCATTTTCAGCTTTGTACAATATCCGTCGTAAAACAGCAAGTTCGTCTGAGAATGAGACCAGGGTAGCCTGCAGTTGTCGACTCTCAAGTCTCAGTGTCTTCAAAGCACCGTCGATCGGGCCATGAAGAGAAGAATGGAGAGAAGCTCGTTCAGAACGCAGCAGAGGTGGTGAAGGTTGATGCCGAGGAGGCATCTACTGATCGATGATGACGTGAGCGCGATTTCCCGACCACTCAATCCTTCCCAAGCTCGTCGCGTCATTCGAGGCCTTCTGCTTTCAGCATGGCGGCGCCGGGTCAGGACGCCAAGTTCTTCCAGCGAGGCAAAATCGAGGTTGGGGATGACCCTTGTCAAGTGTCAACCGTGACCTAAATCTTGGCAGGAATTTCGAGCAGAGCTTCATGCCGCCGAAGCGAAAGACAAGAAATTCGTCAAGCGCAAGACGGTGCTGAAGAAGATCGTCGCGAATATCACAATGGGGAACGACAGTCGGTCTACCTTCTTCTTCTCCAGAGGTCCTCGTGTAAACCCACGCGTCTTGTCCACTAGTGTCACCCTTGTTCGTGGACGTGGTGCAATGTTTGGGAACGCCGTTGTTGGAGATCAAGAAGAGTGCGTCGGCCTTCAATTTCCTATCGGTTCACAGTCTCATCCTCTTGCTCGTTCGTTATAGTGGTTTATCTCTTCCTCGTCAGCTACGGACGTTCGAAGCCCGACCAAATCCACATGGCGATACCTAACTTCCTCCAGGTGCGCGCACACAACTTCGGGATATCCACAGGGAGAGCTCATTCGTCTGAACTAGGACTGCAATGATCGCAATCCTCTCATCCGTGCATTAGCTATACGGACAATGTCATACATTCCCATTCCCATCGTGACCGATGCACTAGGCGACAGTCTCCGGCACTGTCTAAAAGACCAAGATGCTTACGTCCGGAAAACAGCAGCAATATGTGTGGCGAAGCTGTATTCCGCAGATCCTCGACGCGCAGAGAAGAGTGGTTTCGTGGAGATGCTTCGGGATTTGATGTTGGACACCAATGCGACCGTGGTGGCGAATGCTGTTGCTGCGCTGTCGGAGATTGGCGATAGACAGGATGGCGTCATCTTCAAGCTAAACTTGGCCACTGCGAACAAGCTGTTGGCTGCGCTTGGCGAAAGCTCCGAGTGCGTCTGTGCTAAGATCCATTGTAGCTCACATTCTCACAAGCCTGCTCAAGATGGGGCCAGATTTACATCCTGGACTCGCTTCTCCGTTACGTGCCGGAAAGACATGCCGATGCGGAGGTTATGGCGGAACGCATCATCGTTCAATTACAACACGCCAATTCGGCGGTCGTGCTCACCACCATGAAGATCCTGCTCTATTTGATGAACTACATGGAGAACCGGAAGCTTATTGATTACATTTGCAAGAAGATGGGGCCCCCATTAGGTACGGATGCAGTCTCCAGGCGGCTACGCTCTGTCGTTGATGACTGTGCTTTCCAGTTGCACTGCTTTCTTCTGGGCCAGAGGTGCAATATGTGGCGCTCAGGAATATTCTGCTAATCATCCAGCGACGGCCAGCCGTTCTGAAGAACGATGTGAAGGTTTTCTTCTGCAAGTACAATGATCCTATCTATGTCAAACTTGCGAAGCTGGAAATCATGTATCGCCTTGCAAGATCGGAGAATGCTAAGGAAGTGCTTGCAGAACTGCAAGAGTGGGTCGTGCGCTTCCTCCCGGTCATTACTAATTGCTTTTAGGTACGCTTCCGAAGTCGACCTGGATTTCGTTCGAAAAGCTGTTCGGTCTATCGGCCGATTAGCCATCAAAGTCGAGGACGCATCCGACACATGCATCCAGGCGCTCTTGGATTTGATCGATACAAAAGTGTCGTATGTGGTCCAAGAGGCTGTGATCGTGATCAAAGACATCTTCCGGCGGTATCCCGGCAAATACGAAGGAATCATTCCCAAATTGTGCGAACATCTGGATGCCTTGGACGAGCCGGAGGCCAAGGCTGCCATGGTCTGGATTCTGGGTCAATTCGCCAACAGGATCGACAATGCGGATGAGTTGCTTGATGATCTTCTGTATACGTTCTTGGAAGAGAGCGTCGAGGTATGTGAACTTGACCGAGACAAAATTCACTGGCTCACACATCAGCAGGTGCAACTGGCTCTGCTGACGGCAGCTGTCAAGCTCTTCATTTACAAGTCCAAGTCTGACAAGGCGAAGGAGCTTGTGTATAAAGTCCTCAAATGGGCTACAGAAGACATCGACAACCCGGATTTGCGGGACAGAGGCTTTATGTATTGGAGATTACTGGCCATCAATCCGACGGTGGCGGGCGAAATAGTGCTGGCGGAGAAACCACCGATTACCACAGACTCTGACAGAATGGACCGTGGGGCTCTCGATCAGCTACTTCTGCACACCGGAACATTAGGCAGCATCTACCACAAGGTCGGTGCATTGTCTTGGTAATGCCATTTACTGACTTTTCACAGAATCCAGAAGTGCGGACACTCAGTTTCAAATGACTTGTACTGACTTTTTCCCTTCTTTTCTTGGTAGACCTTCATCCGAAACGCAACGGGCAAGGCACTGCAAGACAGTCCAGCTTTGAATCCACATTCAAGAGCAGTGCTGATCGCTGTTGCCCGCCCCAACCTGCCTTCGAGCTCCGTCAAAGTGGCTGGCCCCGGGCCCGTTGAATCCCACGAGCCCAGTCTGCAGGCACCGCCGGCAACTGCTGCTGCCGCTGCTGCTGATGTTGAGCCATCAGCAGTGAAATCCAAGCCCACCCCGCCTATTCCTGAGCGAGCGTCCACGGATGATGACGACGAAAACGATGGGGATGACGACTTGCCTCCAGCGACTAGTTCGGATCCTTACTCAAATTTGAGTGGGGCCTTTGGAGACTATATGACGGACCAGCCGCGACCAATGGAGACCGGAACCCGGCGCCAAGGGGAGGACGACGATCTACTGTTTTGATACCAGGACATGTATTGTATATATTCATGATAGCGATATCAAGCCATGTAACGCATCGGACACTTGTGTTCGCTTTGATTTTGGCCGGAGTGAATTGTAGTGCTAGGTAGGCGGAGCGATCAGCGGTATTGTATGCAGCAAAACGAGGCTCCGCACCTCTCCCAGGCCATACATCCTCCGATGGTAGCTTATGCGCACAGCTCTGGCGTCCGAGATATCTTCGGAATGCGTCCCGGTGGGGGTATGGATTACCACGGGCGGCTTTCCGCTCTGCACGACGTGGATTGGGACATTGTAGACTCGGCTGAGAGCCAGAATCTCGGGCTCGCCTCCCCATATCGCCGTGTCCCGTATCGACGCACAGTACTGTTCGAATTGCTTAGGAGACATGAGCCCCGAGTCTCCCGCCCCAGCACCGTCTTCGCCCGCGGTAGAGGGCAAGAAGGGCAGGAAATCGTCGGGGTGGGTATAGATGTACGTAGCAGCGGCAGCACGCGCAGTTGCGTATGAGGCTTGTGCAGAAGGCAGGATGGAGAGAAGTCGTAGTTGGTCTGCGATTGCAGAGAATAGACAATGCCCGTCGGGATTTATCTGGTGGAGACAGATAATGGTTTCTATGCTCCGGACTTTCTGGAGGGATGAACAGGACACTGTACCTCGTGGATTTCAACCCCCAGCTGGTCACACATGGCCTTTATGTCCCTTTCCTCGTCTTCGGCCTCTTTCTGGATTCGCGCATCGGCCGCAGCATCGTCGGCGCCGTAAGATTGCACAAGAGCCTCAGCCTTGCGAGCCTGAGGTCCCGTGTCAGAGGATGGACGGAGAGCAGTGCAGACGGTACCTGTCGTGCTCTATAACGTGCCTTAGAGTCCTGCTTCGAGGCACTCTCGATCGGTTCGACGTCCTTGACGAGCTCCATGGACTGCACAAGTTTGGCAGATTCCTGCTGGACGGTCGCATCTCGCGAGTCGAGCTGCGCGAGAAGATCATCGACCAGATCATCATCTGGGACGTCGGTCGGTAGATCTGGCAGTGGTTGCGCGACTTTCTTTGACCTCGTCTTCTTGCCCATGGTAGGAGATCCGAGAGAGAGTTATCAATGACGTTGCGGGATCGATAATCTAATCAGAGTCCTCAATCACATGATGCGTGTGATGACTCTTTCTCGCGCACTGTCAAATTTCAATGTCATCTAGGATCTGCACTGAGATTCGATACCCGAAGTATCTAGCTCTGCGTCGTAGGAAGCTTCACCTCTCATGTCCAAGTCCTCCTCTCCCGTAGTGTCATCAGAGGACGCGCAAACCGCACTCAGAGTCTTGCAACACATCAAGCTCCATGGCTTGGGCGGACTGCCCATGGAAACGGGCACGCAGATCCGAATATTGGCCAAGGACATCGGAGCAGGGCGGTACATGAAGCCCAAGATGCGGGGCCTGACGATGTTCGGTCGCTGTTACATCTGGTCCGTTCTGCGCGCGCCTGTTATGTCGCCTCACATGTAACGTTCTCATCGAGCAGCCGTCGCCAGCGTGATTTCCAGATCTCATCGGACTCCCCAAGCTTGTGCGAGCCCTGTCGCACCTTCAATGCCGCGCGAAGAAGCGATCTCGCTGCCCCGACGCTATTCTCGACGAGAACCGCGTTGGTGACGGGTGGCCGCATCAATCTGGGCTACTCGGTCGCTGTAGCCCTGCTGCGTGGTGGGGCAGAGACTGTCATGGTCACGACGCGATTTCCCGAAGACGCTCTTCGACGGTACTCGCTCGAGTCCGATTTCGGTGTCTGGTCCTCGCGTTTGAAGATCATTCAAGCCGACTTCACGTCCCCTCGGTCGATTCAGGGGATGCTGGAGGCCGTCCGCGTAATTTCTTCTCGAAGGCTGGATATTCTGATCAACAACGCTGCTCAGACTGTGCCCATCCCTGAAAAGGAGCAAGCGCTGCTGAAGGGTGGCGAGGGATCCCTGGTCGCAGTCGACTCACACAGTCTCAGTGTCATCGACAAATCACTGATCACGGCTCCCGCTCGTAATAGCTGGGAGGCGCGCTACAATGAATTCACGTACGGAGAACTGCTGGACGTCCTTGCGGTGAACGCTGTCTCTCCGTTCATTTTAATGCGCGAGCTGATCCAGGACATGCTCCATGACGAGCCGACCCATGTCATCAATGTGTCCTCCCGCGAGGGGATGTTCGAAAAGGAATGGAACAGGCGCTCTGCGACCCACGTTCATACAAATATGGCTAAAGCTGCACTGAACATGTGCACGCAGACGATGGCAGAGGAATTCAAGACACAGAACATCTACATCAACGCTGTGGATCCAGGCTATCTGAGTCACCAGCACAGCATAAATCACGTGGGAAAGAGTGGCCTGCCTGAACGAGATGTTCCGCTGGCCTGGGAAGATGGAGCAGCGCGCGTGCTGAATCCCATTCTACGAACACCGCTCATCACTGGCGCGTTCTTCAAGGACTACGAGGAGCGCGATTGGGTCAATGGTTGGCTATAAATACGGGTATGATACTGCATGCTCTAGGACCGGCGAGGCGCCAGATCGGCCGCGTAGTAGCCGTGCGGACTCAGCAGATGGGCCAGCCCCTTGTGGGTCTCGACCTGGAACTCCTCAAAGGGGAAAATCTCTCCGTCGACGGAGAGAGCGCCGGTTGGGGCAAGAGGAGTGATGCGGTACGCATGAGCCTTGATGTACGTGACCTGGTCTCCAGTCAGTCGCAATCCTTGTAGAACAGAAACACACGGCACTTTGTCATTCCAGAAAAGCTCTCCTTTCTGGGCACCCGCTAGACCAAGCAGGATGTCAGATCTCGATGTCTGGAAAGCATGTCATCAAGATTGAGTGAGGTAAGCAAGAGCCGATAAGATTGCGTACATGGCCCAAGGGCTGCACCACGATGTCAATCAGGCCGTCATCCGGCAGAGAGACGGGGAACGCCATGAAATCCCTAGTTGATGATGAGCACTCTGAGTAGATCCCGAAACCAGGTCCTCACCGCCCAACATAAGGGCCCTTCCCTGCATACACATACAGCAACGGGCTTTCCACATCTGTCCAGCCGTCCTTGCTTTCACTGTACTGGAGAGGAGGCAGTGCAGTATCCTCGATCACTTCGCTTTCCTCAGCAGGGACGCCGACGTTTTGGCGCGATCGCTTCATGCTATCGTACATCTTGTCTTTGTCCAACTCGGCCGCCTTGTACGATAATTTCACGGGACACGGCTTGAAACGGATCACTAGCAGGATGTGAATACTCTTCGTAAGCGGATCTCGAGAGACCTGCTCACGTCCACGCAACAGACCGTAGGTGAAGCGCGCGTCGCCCATCCAGCGCAAGTCTTCCGTGCCGATATCGAGGTCGGCAATCAGACCGATGGCTTGCGACATGAACGAGATCGTTCGTTTCCCGTTTTGCACCATGGAGAACAGGTCGACCTTCATCGAAACGCCTTTCACCGCATTCAGAGCCGATGCGACGATGTCAAAGCCGTCCTGCAAAGAATTTCACACCAGCGGGCAGAGGGGATAAGCTTTCACACACACCTGGAAACCCAGGATGTTCAACGAGAGCCCGTTTCCAGTGCCTGCGGGAATCGGGACCAAGGGGATCCCAAAAGCCTTGCGCGGCTGCGCGTGGTGCGCAAATCCGTTCAACACTTCGTGCACCAGTCCGTCCCCCGAGACGATGGCGACTGCATCGAAGTCGAGAGAAATAGACTGCGCAATCTCATACCCATGGTTCCGGCCGTTGGTGTCTGTCCAGCTGTTCAGTGGCCTACCTGATCACGAGGTGCGACGGGGCTTACACGTGACGTCAATGGTGCAATGGCCGGCGAGGAGCACCGGCTCGATCACTCGCTTGAACAGCGCAGCGCCCTTTTTCTGAGCAAGTGTGTTATGAGCACCGGGCGCGTGATGTCAGAATGTGAAGCCCGACATACAGTGCCGCTGTGAGGATTCACAAGAACTTTGATACGCCTCCCGCGCTTGATGCCGTGGTATGCCAGGTGCAGGAGGGTGTCCATCCATGCATCAAGCACATCATTCTCGACGTCCTCGGCGGCCCCCGAGAGTGTGTCCAGAAACATGGAACCGTTCTTCCTCCGGTGCACGAACGTCAGCTCGACGGTGGGCCCCGTGCGCTTCACATCCAGTATCTGGCGGATAGGTATTTGGATCGACTTTTCTGGAGTTTGGAACGTGAGCAGTTCGTTATCACAGGTTAGAGTATTGACTTGCTGGTTTTTTTAATGGTTAGTTCGGTATCCGTGTAGCTGACAACAAAGAGTTGCTTGGGGCCACGCAGTTTGAGATCCCGAGGAGTGCCCGACATGGCAGCGAGCCAATTATAGCGGGGTCGTCAAAGGAGGCGCGAGATTGCTTATGTTCGCTGCGGGCCGGCATGACAGAAGTAGCCGGTGTCATCATCAGTTTGATGTTGAGTCGTATTTGTGTCCAAGACCGGAGTCAGAATCTCGCTCCCATTCACACCTCGTTACAGCTCGCGCGCCATGTCCGAACCCATGTTTGACCCGTCCTTGAAGAAGAAGAAAAAGAAGAATGTCGCGTTCATCGTCGATCCGCTCGGTGCTGAGGCCGATCCGACTGCCCCGACGCCCGAGATCGAGAACACGACCACTGATGGCGCGGTGGTGGACCTGGGGCCGGCCACGGCACACGAGAAGATGAAGCTGGAAGTGGAGGCTGAATCGACGCCTGCGGAAGCGGACGATGTGAAGGCGATGTTTGGCGACTTGAAGAAGAAGAAAAAGAAGAAGGAAATCCCAATGGATTTGGTGCGTGGGATGTCCGTGACTTGCGAGATAACCGAGAACTGAGCTGGGATACCAGGGTGATGAACCTGCCACGTCGAAACCCGCCCCCGCTGCCGCGGAAGGTGGCGCGAGCGAGGCCGTTGAAGACCTCGACTTCTCCGACCTGAAGAAGAAGAAGAAATCATCCAAGAAAAAGGCCAACTTCGATCTGGAGGCCTTTGAGAAGGAGCTTAAATCGACAGGGCCCACGGACGGAGGCGATGCCGAAGAGGACGGCGAACCTCAACCGAACGTCGATCTTGATGATGACGCTGACCTCGGTGAAGATCCCTTCGCACAACCTTCTGGCGAGGGTCTTGCGGTGGGCTCTGGAAATGAGGCATGGTTAAAGAGCGATAGGGACTACACGTACCCTGAGGTCAGTTTACCGAATTGTCGACCCTTCCGCGAGACATCGCTTATACGTGATAGCTGCTGGGCCGTTTCTACGAGGCTCTTCATCTCGCCAATCCGTCACTGCTCTCCTCTTCCTCCGGTAAACGATACACGATCGCGCCCCCCTCCATCCACAGAGAAGGCACAAAGAAGACCATCTTCGCCAACGTCACGGAAATCTGCAAGAAAATGCATCGTCAGGTAAGATCACCCTGATGACAAGAATCGGTGTGTTCAATGTCACTTTCAGCCGGAACATGTCATCCAGTTCCTGTTCTCTGAAATGGGTACAACCGGTTCCGTTGACGGAGCAGGGCAACTGGTCATCAAAGGTCGATTCCAGCAGAAGCAGGTTGAGAATGTTCTGCGAAGATACATCGGTATGTAACTTTCTCGATCTCCTTGTTATGCAGGACATTGACGGGTTCATGCAGTGGAATACGTCACGTGTAAAACCTGCAAATCGCCGGACACGCTTTTGACGAAGGAGAACCGTATCTTCTTCATGTCGTGCGAGTCGTGCGGCAGTCGGCGCAGTGTGAACACGATCAAGAGTGGTTTCCAGGCCCAGGTCGGCAAGAGAAGCAGGAACAAGACGGGATAGACCACTGGATGTATTCCTTACAATTCATATGTACATGTATGTGCGATTCCACTCCTTCTCAGAGGGCTCCCGAACAGACCCCCTCGAGCCACTCGACGTCACTGGGGACTTTGGTCAGGTTTGTCATGCCATTGGCCGTGATCTCAACGACATCTTCGATTCGTACACCACCAACGTTCTCGTAGCGTTTCAGGACCTCGTGGTCGATAAGTTTGGAGTCGCGAATGTTGTTCAGGAAATGGGGATTGAAGTAGATGCCTGGCTCGACCGTCTGCAGAATAATGGTCAGCAAAAAGATCATCCTCGAAGAAGGCATGTTGGACTCACCACCACCATGCCCGTCTCAAGCTTGAGTCTGAGCCTGAGATATTTGTAGAAATCAGGATGCCCTAGAATTATTCCGGTTTCGATGCTAGGATTGACCGCCGGCTTCGAGGCACTCGGGACATCGTGCACGTCCATCCCGAGAGAATGTCCTGCATTTATGATCAGAAGTAAATCGTAAGAAAGAGGATAGGGCCGGACCCAGTCCGTGCGGGTAAAAAGCAGTTGTGATTCCGCTCGCAAGAATAGCTTCCTCGGATGCCCAGGAACCAGAGTTCGGAGACGACGGAGATTTGAAGATTCCCAGACGCTGGAAGCCTTGCGTAAGGACCCGGTGTGAGAGCAAATGGACTGCGTCCCAATGTAGGCCGGGTTTGATGATTTCCATGCAAGCCTGATTTCGTCTGGTCAGACGCAGTGAAGTTTAAGACGGCCCTGTAAACTTGCCTTTTGCATGTCTAGAACCAGAGAGTAGATATCCTTGGCTTCGGGAGTGAACTTTCCGCCATTGCCGATAGGCATCGTACGCGTGATGTCGGCGGCATAGTTGGTCCACTCGCAACCAGCGTCAAGCAGAAGAACCTGAGGCTTCAGCTCCTTGCCGGCCGAAAGCGATGAAGTGTTGACATGATCGCCGGCAGCACGAGGGCCCCAAGAGAACTCGCGATTGTTCCCACCATTGCAACAGTAGTGGAGAGTTGCTGCACGTGTTGAAGCTGCTACAATTGGCAGGTATGCCGCGTGCACAGCGCTGAGATTCACTTGAATGAGCCGTCAGGAAACCCAAGGACAGACGCACCCCTCTCTGCGGAACGATGCGACGAAGATTGCTTCGGCCTCAGCTTCTTTTTCAATCAACCACTCGCTCGGAAGCAGAGGTCGTCCCGTGGCAGTATTTGCCTTTATTTCTCCTTTAACTGCAGCACCCAAGACACGCATGACTACTTCGTGAGCACGTGAGCTGATATCGCACGCCTTGCGAATGAGATCGACTTCGTATGCATCTTTGAGGAGACGGGCCTGATGCAAGGCGCTCAGAAGGAACGCGTCAGTCACTGCTAAGCCGTCTGCTGAAAGGACAGGCTTGAGAAGGTCCTCAGAAACGACGGGGAATTCTGGCGACCCGCGCGGCAGGCAGTGGAACAATGCGCCGGGGAGAGCTTTGATGAGCTTTTCAATGGCCTGTGGGAGTGCGGTCGTGTTTTGAACTCCGGTCACGTCGTGTGTTTCAATAGCAGCGGCCAGACTTGGTGGGGGGACCTGAAGGACGCATCAGCGCGATCCGCTTGTCCACCAACGTCGGACTGACCGACCACATCAGGATCTCCGATGTGATTTCGGGAATGAAGAGTTCAATCTCAGGTTTCGTATCCAAAGAAGTGCCGGCTTGGAATGCGACAAGCAGGTGGGAATCCGGAGTGTCACATCCGGAGAGATAATAGAAATTGCTTTCCTGTCTGAAGGCAATTTCGCGGTCCGTGTCGTTACGGTAGTGTACTTGAGACCAGTGATTACTGAGAAATATCAACGTATAGTTGACTCCAGGACCGACCTATCTCGCCAGCAAGCAAAAGCACTTGTGGCTTGGTGCGCTCTGATTCAGGCAAGAGTGCACATAGCTGCTGGCAAGTCTTGATAACGTGTTGTTTGGCTTAGGCTGACGGTAAGCTGTTTTACATAGGATGATGCCACCAGAATCCAGGTACCTGGGTACATTGGCGGAACGTCCTTGTCGTCTTTCAATGAGCGGAGCTGAGCTACTGATGATCGATGATCTGTGATGTCACTTGTTTACGTATGATGACGCGACTGACTCTCACGTGTAGCTTTGTTTACGGCTTGACTTGGAACGACGATGTCGCGCACGCTCACTTCGGCGCAGATTATTGCACAGGGCCATTACCTCGAGCCCGACTTCGACCCATCATCCCTGACCGTATCCCAGCTTCTCGGCGTCCTTGGCTATCACAACATCTCGTATCCGACGCCGTATTCGAAGCCGAAACTCATCGCCCAATTCAATGCTCAAGTCAAGCCTAAAGCTACCAAATTCCACAGGGATCGGCTGAAGGCGCAGAGTAGTATTGCCAGTGACGAGGGGATCATGGATGGGGTAACTGGGGAGCCAGTGGCTGCATCGAGACCAGTAAGTTCAGTTCTTTCATTGCTCCCTTTGCCTCATGCCGTCAATAACAGCAACCTGCCGTTCGCCGCTCATCACGCCGACTTTCTCGGGCGCCTATCGAAGAGAAAGAGAAGGAACTATCGCCTGTTCGCCCAGATCCCGTACGTTCCTCCTTGTCCTGTTTTTGTCGTTTTGCCAACGCAAGATTGGCGCCGACAGCCTAAGCGCCGAAGGTCCTCCGCGCAGCCTAATCTTGGAGGGCCCTCCCGTACCAAACTCGAAAGCAAGCCCTCTGTGGTTGTCGAAGAGAGCGAGCCCGAAGAAGAATATGATATTCCGGTCCGTAAGGTGGGACGAAGCAAGAAGACAGTAAGTGTATGTTTGATTGCGGCATTAGATCGAGGCTTAAACGGTTTCTCGTAGTCTCAAGCCGCGGGTCAACAAAGTCGACGTGTTTCACAAGCAGAAGACAGCGGCTGGGAAGATAACAATGTATTTCAGTCTGGCGCAGAATCATCTTCTCCGGCTCGTCCACCACCTAAAGCAAGTCGCAAGAGCGTGGGCTTGCGAAAGGCGCGCAAATCAGTAACAGCGCCTCCAGAAATGGCGCCCTCATCATCGCCGATTCGGGGACCCGAACTCTCGTTTGCTTCGCCACAGACCAAGTTCGAGCCTCAGTTGCCGGCGAGCGTGACACGCGGCCCCCGGATGATGGCTCCCCAGTTCATTACGCCCGCGGAGGATCTGGAAGAGACGATCGAACTTGTCGACACCGATTACCCTGGCGATGAGCCCACAGAGGACTACTTTGGGGCTCAACCTGTGGACCTTGATGAAGTTGCCGAAGAATTGCAGGATAGTCAAGACCAGGATGAAGCAGATTTTGATGATGAAGACTTGGATCTTGTCATCTCACAGCGACTAGCTGAGGGACACACCGATCTCATTCCGGCGGCGCCGTCCGGAAACAGGCCGAATGTCCTCAACGTACTGTTCCTCGTGTTAACGTGTCTCTTTTTCTACGGAGGGGTCGAGTACAAGCGCGAGTTCTCCACAATCGGCTACTGCGATGTGGGGCAGTCAACGAATCATCAGCTAGAATACTTGCGAGCGAGACGGCATGCTATCGAGACGTGCAATGTCGAGAACCGGACGACACTTCCCGACGGCAGTCCTTGTCCACTACCGATCCCATTCCCTCATCCAGACACATGCACACCGTGTCCGTCTCACGGCACGTGCACGCAATTTCAGGTCATGTGCGACAAAGGCTACTTGTTGCAGCGTCACTGGCTTATCCGCGGGCTATCTACGCTGCAAGTTCCGGATACGGTCAAACAGGGTGCGATCGATATCGCCAATGGATTTCCTGGAGGCTCCAGCATCGGGCTGGGACCGCAGTGCGTGGAGGATCCCCGAAGGAAGTCGCACATCAATGGCCTCGGAAGGTGGATCGAACAAGAACTTGGTCGCGTCTACGGTCAAAGAATTTGCGAAGGCTCGAGTCGGGTCTTCCCGGAAAATGAAGGTGGAGATGCCCGTCGGTGGGGTGAAGAACTTGGACAGCTGAGTGAACGGGTGGCCGAGATGTCCCAGGTGAGTAGCCTTCTTTGACGCTGGCTGAGCTCCTTCCTGAAATTCCAATGCAGGCCAAGAACGCACCAGGTCGGAAAAGCGACGATGACGTGTTTCCGGATGCGATCCAGCAATTGATTGAATGGGGCGGTGTTTTCTTGGGAGAGGCTTCCGATGGGAAACGATACATCGCACACAAAACACCACAGTTCACATGGAGCTGTCAGGTTTCGATGAAGTTTTGGGCCCTGTTCGAAGCATATCGTTCGGTTCTAGTTGGTGAGTGAAAGTGGGGCTTCGTTGCGATCTCGGCTAATCACGTGCAGGCATGGTTGCTATTTTTGCTGCCTACAAAGGTACACGGCGTCGACAAAGCCGGAAGGCGATTGAGGGCAAACGCGTTGCGGAGCTGGTGCAGATGTCGATGGAGAGTCTCCGCGCTCAAGACTGTTCTTACCGCGAGGACGGCACTGACGGAATGTTGCCATATCTGTCGTCCGTGCAGCTCCGGGACACGCTTTTGGCGGATGAGCACTCAGTCCCAGCTCGGGAACGTCTGTGGGCCCGAGTTGAGCGGGTGATCGAGGGGAATGCAAATGTCCGGGCCAACTTGGAGGAAGTCGAGGGTGACCAAGAGATGCGAGTGTGGCGATGGGTCGGGCCATCGTCACCCCGGAAGTTGGAGGGTTGATCTGGGCTAGTCTAGTAGAGTGGATCTATCTTGTCTATGTACTTGTCACATGTACCATTGGTTTTTTTCTGGACCGGTGTGTGGATGACAACGGAAGAATCGGGGTGTTTGCCGCCAGCTGACCGGGCCCGATGTCCGAAAGAAGGCCACCCGATTAGGGAATTTCTTACTCGAGGATATGTTGTCTCCAGATGGGTCATTGTTCTCGGCATGGCATCGGGTGGTGAATGGCAGCCACAAGGCACACATCCCATGTCACGAGTAAGAATCTATGTACACCTGAAATACAATCTTCCGGATGTGCTGTTCCGACCATAAAACAATGCGGATGTAGCCGACAACACCTAAGGCCTAATACCCGGCGGGTTGTCCAACAGGCATATTGGCATTAATCTTTTCGATCAGTGCACGTTTCATAAACTGCTCCTCGGCAAGCAGACGGGTAGACTAATCACAAAGTCGTTCAGATGACTGGGGATTCGGAAACGAAGAAACACGAACGCGGAGAAATCGTTCCAGGTCGATGCGGCCGCTGTTGAGCGCCTTGGATAGGTGGAAGATCGTGTCCTCGATGGCGTTGTCCTCGGCGACCAAGTTCACCACTCTGTGGCGCACGCGATTGAGTCCCGGGGATGCACGCAAAATAAGCTGCTCACTGGTTGCCCACGATGCTGACCCCACACACCAACTCATCGACACTGGGTTCGCCTCTGCCTCTCACATCGTTGACCCATGACTCGGCGCCACTGACGACAGCACCAACACGGCCAACGACACCATTGCACACGTCTCGCACAGCCTCCAGCCGGGCCATCTCGTCCCGGATGGCAGGTTCACCCGCGAGCAGCGCACCCTGGTGGGCGCGCAGCCGCTCTGCGTCCAGTGCCAGCGCAGTCGACAGCGAGGCGAGCGACGAGGAAAGCTTGGCATGCACTTCATTGTGCAAGGACACAATCTGGGGATTCGGGGGAACTGGGGGTGCAGCGGAACCAACACCCAAAGCGGGAGCCTCGTCCGCATCGAGCAGATTAGGGATCGGGGGCGATGCAACCACGGGCGGCGGTGGTGCTGGTGGATATTGGGGCTGGGGCGCGAACTGCTGAGGGACGAAGGAGGGTTGTGGCTGATATGGTGTTGGGTTGGGCGGCGGTGGCGGCGGCGGTGGTCGGGGAGGAAGTTGGTAATTAGGTGGGGCCTGCGCTGGTGCGGCAAGTGCCGGCGATGGAATCTGCGCAGGACTCGGGCCGGGGGCTGGGCTCTGTGTCTGCATCGGCTTGGGAGGCAGGACGGGAGGTCCGTGCGGCTTGGCATAGACGGGTGGCGACCGTCCGAATTCACCCTGCATGGCCTCGACCAATCCCGAGACGCTACATCCCTCGCTCTTGCGCACCCATTGCTGCAAGTACTCAATCCCCAGACGTCCGCTGGGGTCAAGGTGTGGGCCCGGTCGCACAAGCATGTCTGCTGTCGGTACGACGTACGCGAGGGGAGGATCCTGGGGATGCGAGCGCTGGATCCATATAGCTACGGGGATGTGATACGCGTTGCCGCGATAGCTTATCGGCAGGAGCCCGTGAACGCAGAGCAGAAGCTGCACACGACCGTCATCGTAGGCTAAAGATGTCCTCTCATCATATATATCTCGAGTTTGGGCAGGGAACACTTGCTGTACACGTCTGACTTGGGGCGAAGGCTGGGGAAGCGACTCAGAGCACCGTCGACATCAGCGTACACTCTGTCTGGCGCGGAATATGGCTGGACATTATCGCGCAGCCACTTCTGTGTCAAGGACAGGGCCATGGAATTATCAGATCCACTAGTCGCGACTTGCCGTCGCTATATGTCAACGAGCGTACCGAACTCCCGGGATGGTTTCGCCCGAAACACGTTGATGGGGTTCCGCGGAGATTCTCTGCTCAAAAAAGGAAGGATGAAAGAGGGTAAGCTCGTCAGAGCCAAATTCTCGGGTCGGACATACTCATCAGGGCTGTGATTATCACGTAAGCATCAGATCTCAGACAGTCGGAATCGGATCTCGTTGTTGACTTGCCCAGTAGCACACTATTTAGTCCATCGGGCCTCGGCTACACTCTAGTGCTCAATATGCCCCCGCAAGACGACCCCGCTCCAGGCACTTCAAAATCGCTCACACCTCTACGCAAGCATCGCAAACTACTCAAGGACGGCAGTGGGACTGCGGTGTGGCCAGAGGCGATCGAGGCCGTCTTCGTTCAAGGTACAGCTTTTTTGTACTTTCCCGATTTTCTTAGCCCATCCACATCCAGGCCTCCGTGAATACTGGGACTCGCCATGGGCCACGTATTCGCGTGGCAGGAGCAGATGGCGCAACCAATTTCTCGTCGAATATCTTGCCAACCACGGCATCGAACGAACGAAGAAGCAGGTGGCCAGTCATATTCAGGTATTATTTCAGATCGCTCTCTACGTCGCGGGACTCTTACAGGGCTGCAGGTGCTGCGAAATATGTGGAAGGGCGACTCTCGTACGTCTTTGCTTCCGTGGATGCCTGGATCTACCTTATTTACTTCCGCACCACCCCTAGAATACCATCTTGTCGCTGGAGGAGAAGACTCGTTTCCCCAAGAAGGACAGCAATCGGAGCAGGAAGAGCCGCACTTTCGAGAGGGACGACCGCCGTCGCATTTATTTCGTGACTCCTTCGACGTCAAGAGCGAAGCCCACTCCCCCCTGCTCACCATCGACCCCGACGATGATCCCAGCTCCTCCCCCACCACATCTCTCCCAAGCCTCTCCTTCTCGCCGACCAGCCCCATCTCCTCTATTCCTGAAATCGATTCTCCACCGCACGCCTACGCCGCCCTTGTTCCGACGAACAATGCGCAAAAATATTCCCCTGGAGTGCCTTATGGCACCTTTGCCGGACAGTCCTTCGGGGCAGCCGTACCGGTCCACCCGATCCGAGCGACCACGTTCACCCTCCGAGCGAACGGAATGACGCCATTGACCATATCTCTTGACCGTTTGTACACGCCGAATGCGCCGCCGGCAAGGACCCCTCCTCTTGCACTGAAGCTCAAGGTCAAGCTTCCCGCCTGGTCGTTTCCAGGGCCTGCTGGCGCTGCCGTCATCACTGCTCCGTGCGCAGAGGCTTTCGTGCATTCCACCCGGTACGACGACCTCAACCATCAGGTTGGAGCGAATCAGGACCCGGCCGTCGCCCGATCCGCATCGGGTGCACCCGAAATTGTGTTCCCGCCCTTTTTTTCATCATACGCGCCTGACTCGGTGGACGCGATGACGATCACGCAGAATCTGGTGGTTGACGGCCACACGCTGTTGTTTGTCATGTACGAGATCGAGTTTGGGGGGCCAGGATCGACGACGCAGGCCAGCCTGCACTCTTTCCAGCCCTGTGTGTTGGCGGGCCGAGAGGACTACGGACACATGTCGTACGAGCAACCAGCTCAGTACCCGGCGCCGTACTACGCGCAGTCGCAAAACGAACAGCCCCATGGACGGCGTATGTATGCGTCTTCGCTGTCTGCTGCCTTGACGCCCGTCTCGTAACGTGGGATATCATCCCTGCACGATATTTTATTCGCGGATAATCTCGGCCCGAGTACACTACTACACGCCCCACTCCTTTTGGACCACCCACTTCCTTCCCCTTGTCCGCGGTGTCAATAGTCTGTATTCTCATTTTTTGTATGTATTGTATCCTATGCACTATGCGGGGATGGACATGGTGTAACCAGTACAATGTTGTAAATCCCTTCGCTCACTGTATTTGTCTTGGCTATCGCCGATCGGCCAGCGTGCGAGTCCATGCGCCACAGCAGATGATTGGCCCTCATCACCGGCGTCCTAGACGCTATCTGCAACAACCGTGGGTACCATCGAACAAATCAGTCCAGGCAGTCTCCGAAAGTCGCGAGTTCATTGAAGTAGCATATATTGAGGATTCAAGTAATCTCTATGTAGGCCTCGTCTCATGAACCTGCGGCCGAGACACTGTTAGTGCCCCCAGGATCAGGCATCTCGCGCTCGCGGCGGCGGCCGATGTCGGTCTCTCGGACGCTGTTGGTGAGATATCCACCGACAAGTCATGCAAACGAGCGGATTTGCTTCTGGTGAAAGAGATTGCCGATCGGCCTGGCCTATTCGAATACAGGACTCGGGTACTCGACCTACGCTCGACTGGACGATAAGACTTTGGCAGCCTCGGAACGGACGTCAGGATCCCAGTGCTGACTGCTCAGAGCAGCAAGCTCCCAGAAGCACGTGCCAAAGGGATTGCACAACTGGGGATCATCCACTTCCGGTCGGTAGCTGCCATCCAGCGCACGCTCTTCCGTCGACAGCATGGCCGCGATCTTCCCATCTCGGCCAATCAGCCCTGCAACGAACTTGATGGAGCGAAGAGCTGCTTTTGGGACCAGTGTAACGATGCTGTAAGCAGCCGTTTTGCAAATGCTGCGGCCCGCCAAGGTGGTGCTGCACTTCCAGCTGATCTCGGCGCAAACGACAGCTCCAACGCGCGGAACAACTGCTCCGTCACTTCAGGCTCAATGTCTGACAAGCTCAGAGGGAGAAGGAGAGCATATAACTGGGTTATAAAGTCACTGAGATCAATGTTCAATGCTTCACCTGATTTGCCACATCAGCGCCATCAGAAAGAAAGAAGACAAAACCTACCTTGTCCACTCAATAGCTCGAATGCAGTCACGATGCACTGGAGACGAAGTCGCACATCACGTGTCATGTCTGGCTCATCGTCTTCTTCGCTCTCGATCTCGCGCACCACCAAGTCCTTCAGGACTTTGAGGAGATCACGGAAAAAGTCAATGTTGACGAGATGCGAGTATCTGGCTATCCCTTGCAAAGCTGCGGGTAGCAATGCAGTGGGCCTGTCGTGCTTGATGATCTTGAAATACAGAACGAATAGCAGCTTGAGCGTCTCGGTGTGCTGAGACTGGTGTGAGCGTGGGACCAAACAAGGGAAACAGACGCACGGTGGCAGACCTCTCCTCTTTATCAACTTGTGCCTCAGCTTCCCGGAACTCGCGATCGATCTCTCGCTTCTCTTTCGCGACCTTCCGCGCCGCTTTACTGAGATGGGGCTGGGACGTGGCCTTTCCCTTTGATCGTCTTGCAGCATCCTTACTGGCTGAGCTGCGTTTGGGCTGGTCGGGCTTGTCCGCGTGCGAGTCAGATGAGCGGACGCCCAGTTCCGTTTTGAGCCGGAGATGCATGAGACATGTCAACACATTGGGGTTCACATTGAATCGCTTTTCCTTGACCATCCGGTTGATCACACGAACGATTTCGAGCGATGCTGTGCCAGTGACATCACTTTTGAACGTTTTCACCAACGTGTCGAGACAGTTTTGCGACATCTGGAGTCCAGTTAGTACGAAACACGACGTCCTGGGGCCACCGCACCTTGTCCCAGGACTTTCTGCTCAGTCTTGCCACGATGCAGTTCATGAGATTCACGCGAAAGTTGAAATGGATCAGTTCTGTCAGTAGCGTGCACATCGCCCCCAGAGCAATATCAGCGAGTTCACTTTTGGCTGTGCTACAATCAGTTGTGTAATTAGAAGCGCAAGATAAAACACACCTTTCAGCTCAGCTTCAAGCGCTCGCAAATAGTTCTGATAGACCACCACTAGTCCTTGTTCCCATTCTCGTGTTCGTGCGACCATCTGGCTGACTTTTTCTGCTTTCTCCTTGTCCGATAATGCACGGATTCGGTATCCAGGGATGATGTCTTTGAACACTGCGAGCTGGGAAAGGATTGCGAGTTTGCGGATCACGGGGTCATTAGGAACGGGATCAGGATGTGTCGGCGTTGATACTTGAGCGAGAGAGAACGTATGCAAACGACGTAGAAGACCGAGCTATGGAGAGTCAGACTTGAGCCTGTCCATTTCACAGGTAAAGTGCTCACGCTGCCTTCAGGATCAGCCATGATATCCTGACAGATACTGGCAATCTGCTCCTTTGCTCCTTGGATCCGGTGACTCCGGGATTGGTTGCTCAAAATGTCGACGACGGCGGGACGCCCAAATCTGGCACCCGTGGCAACATCTTCTCGTGCGGGCTCCTCGACTCGTTCGTCTTCCTCCTCGCTCTCTTCGCTACTGTCTTCACTGGTAGAGAGTTGCTTGAGTTTCACTCCAGACTTCTGTACACGCCCGTTGGCCAACTTGATAGGCAGCCGTTCGATTGCGGTATCCTTCGCGGAGTCCCAGGATGGCCTGTGTTTCCGAGGCGCAATTTCGTAGGGCATCTCAGCATCCGAGTCTGAGTCCAAAGCGGAGTCCATTCCACTTTCAGAGAAGCCGGATGAGCCCCCGTCCTCCTCCGATACCATCCCAGAGCTCCAATCGTCCTCGTTCTCGTCCTCGTCCCCGTCCGAGTCGAGCGACGGAAGATCGTCCACTTCAGGTGCTTTCCTGATCGGTTTTTGCAATTGTCGCAGTCTTTCTGTTTCTTTTTTGCTCCTAGTGTGAGTTCAAAGTACATCCTACGTTGCGGCAATAATTCACGACGCACCTTGAAATCGCTTTCTGATCCAGGCCATCCAAGAACGAGAGGGCACCGCCATATTCTTCCAATAGCTCTACATCCTGGTCCGAGAGATATGCCTCATCATCGCTGGCATTAGCAGGTACGAGGATCATTCCTCTGTCCGCTGCCTTCTGCTTGTTCTTGTCCTTCGGCTTGACATTATATTTTTTGGGAGGCCCGACTTGTTTCGAGGGTTGTTTGGCGGGGCCGAGTTTGCGTTTCTTCGAAGGGCCCTGGAACCGTATGTTCACTCCAGGCTCTGCACACGGAAAGACAAGGACGTACCCCAGTAACCGGTGCAGACCTCTTTCCTGCTGCCATCGCCGTCTAAAAGAGAAAATGATCGGGTCAGCGGAATCTTCCGAGCGCGTAACGCGCTTGTGACGGCGCGCGTTTACTCCCACGGCCACAAGTCAAGCACTGATCAGCGGTGCATCATGGACATTCCACCCACCGAACACGTCTTGCGCGCCCACCACGTCGGCCTACTGACACTTTTCTCACTTACGTTCAAAGAGTTCGAGGGAAAGCTACCGCCTGCCTTTCTGCTGCACATATACCGGCTTCTGTTGAACGAGGTTTCCGAGGTGCGCGTCTTTGACTCTCCTTGTGACTGTGTCTGACATTATTAGGTGGCCCCGCCGAAGTCGTTCACCGAGCTTCAGATGGACCTTCTTTCAGCGAGCAAGGCGGAGCTCCAGATCTCTCGCCGCTTGATAGCGGGTTTCGATGCTTGGGTCAGTCAACCCACATATGATCGAGCTTCTCTGAATCGGGATAGAGGGATGGTTTAGCAACGGCTGAGCGGCTGGCTCAGTTTCTCTCCGGTGACTTCGATGGGATGTTCATTCGCAATCTCCATCCCTGACTCCTCATGTCAGCATTGCCGAATCTGTTTCAAGAGAAGGTTGAGGGCGAAGAGGTATTGAGAACGTTCCGTATCTGGCGCACCTAATATGTTTCAGGAAATTCCACCTACCTTGGCAAGTCGAGCTACGCGTATGATCGTACGACAACATTGAGCAGATTCAACAGCAACGACGCTCAATCTTCGGTTACTTCTGTCGGCGGTGCCATGCAAGCTACCTGAAGCTTACGTTCTACGGCGTGGGGAAGCTTCAGAAGGACTATCAATCGTGGTGTCGGGGAGTGGATCCGGTCGAGATCAAGTTTCCAGCTGCCAAGGATCAGTTGCAGAGTATGGATGTTCATATCTCTGGTGTACCAGTGCTGATCACCTGTTTTGTAGGCCACATCTATAACTACAGAACGATGGCGGACAAAGTAGTCTGGGCACGACCTGACTCCTACGACACGTCTGTATTCCTTCTTGCCCTATCTATGCTGCTGGCATTAAAAGTTTCAAGTTTCAACAAAGCGATGGCCACAGGGAACGAGAGTGTAGCTGTCGAAAATCTCCGTCGGTTCTTCGAGCAACATTTCCATGAAAACAATGATTCGCAAGTTTTCCATAGTTTCCGCTGTCCGCATGAGCTCAACTCGTCAAGGCAGTGGTTTTCGGCAGCATGCGTTGCTGAATCTCGTGCGAATGCATTATGTGCGCCAGGAATATGTTGCTGCTCGCAAGGTAGGCCCGTTGGCTTGCCTGAGGCTACGCTTAACAAAGTCTGCAGTTACTGCACGAAGCAATTGCAATCGCCCGACTGAACAACGACAGGGTAACCTTGCAGCACTGCACAAGGTAAAGCCACCTGTCATCATAGAAGATCTTGCCCTGGAAGTTATCAGTCTACTACATCGCCTGCCACCCACAATTCCGCGTAAGCGGCCGACCCTGAATGAAACACAACCAGACTTGCATCCCATGGAGATTCTGTACGACGTTTCAAAGCTGATGGACGAGGAGAATGTGTGTCGTTTTGTGGCATTAGATTCGCGGGGCTGATTCTCGCGGTAGGGGCAGCCTCTGAGCGCATCGTTTGCGAGAATAGTGGAGGGGGTCGGGTTGTATGACCACTGGTTTGACACACAACCTATTCCACCGGCTGACACCGAACAATGGGCTCAGCATGCTGTGCAGTCTGTTCTCTGGACCGCAGCTGGCTGTCCCGGTCTTGCTGCGTTGGAGGAAGATCTCGTCATCGCTTTCACGGACGAAGGCGGCAGTGATAATAACCGGACGACTGTGATGCTAAACAAGCTGTACCGGGTGTGTTATCATGCGTTTCTGAATATTAATGGCGCTGAAAATATGCAGCATGCCAGGTCTGGGTACTACGATCAGGCTTTGTCAGCCTTGCTACATCCCAGCATGTGGCGCGGCCTCTCCCTCATAGATTATGGACTATGGGCACAGGAAATATGGCATATCCTTGTTTTGAGAGCGACCCGGCGGTAAGGCGAGATCATCTTTGGTGTGCGCTCGCTCAGGCCTCCCACAGAGGACAAGATCGCGCTTACCGAGAGATCCTTTTACCGAGAAGACCTCCTGGGGAATACAAGCCCAGGACGTACACGCTTGTCCCTGCGGGCCCCAAGCTTTCCAAAATACAGCAGCCTCTCTGGGAGGTCATCCAGATGAAGGTAGGTCATTCTTGTTCCTCCCTTCTAGCTCATGAACCATTGGGCAGCAATGCGATCAAGCTACGAGCACCATGGATGATCTGCTGACGGCGCTATGGCACTCTGAATTTCTGGGTCGGCTCAGTTCATACAGGACAGGTATTATTCTGTTGGCGGACGTGTCTCTCGAATTTGGCATGTCTCAAAGGTCATGCAACATACTACAAGACATCATGCCCCAAGTGAGCAGCAAAGCATATGACCAACGATCTATTTCAGGCTCAAAACCTCTCAGTTGATCGCAGGGTTCGATACAGAATTACGAGCACTGGCATGTTTTACATTGGCTCGTTGCACGATTGTGGCCGGGGAGACTTCCGGTCCGTTGTGTCTTAGAGAATGATCTAAACAGGCTGAATATGCTGCAGCGGAGTCGCTCGAACAAGCTGTCAGATACCTCACGATTGCCGAGACTGATTTCCTCAGCCTAGAGATGTTTAGCGCAGCCATGGACGTGCAATACTTCCTCTCGGTCGTTTACCACAACTTGGAGCAAGACGCAGATTGTGATGCGGCAGCCAGGCGGCATTTCGCGTCTCAGGAGTCATTGAAGAGTCTGGAAATCACGCAAGATGGATACATACCAGTGTTGGAGATTGTACGAGTGGTCGGTGCGGCTTTAGCCAGTCGTCATGTTCCGGTATCGTAGTCACGTGGACGTGTGTGTTGTGCTTCGTTGAAGATTCCGCATTCAGAACTCGACTTTTGACTTGAGATCCTTCGACGCTATCTGAGGGCCCCACCAATCGAGCATGGACGGCCCTCCCCCAGTCGAAGAGGACTTTTCTACACTTCCCGTCGCGGAGCGATTATCTCACAAGAACTGGAAGGCACGCGTGAGCGGCTATGAATCTCTCGTCAAGATCTTTCAAGCTACCGCATCGGACACCGATCCCGCCTTCCGGCCCTATCTCAGCAACCCTGACCTGCTGAAGAAGATTGCCATAGATGCGAATGCGGTCGCGCAAGAGAAGGGTGTCGAATGCCTCGTCGCGTTAGTCAAGTATGCGGGGGAGTCGGCCGCCAAGACCCGCGAAACGGTTGTGCCCGCCTTGGTAGACAAGTGTTTCGGGTCTACACGAGCGGGTACGAAGGCTCAGGCGATCGAGCTCGCGCTGCAGTACGTAGAGGTGGAAAATGGTGGCACGGGAGTTGTGGTGGGTCCTTCATACCTTATTTTTGTCCCAGCCCACCCATTCTCTCAGACCGACATTCTGCCTGGCTTGGCAGCCAAGCAACCCAAGGCGGTTGCTGGATGCGTGACAGCGCTGAAGGAGGTTATTCGGTGCGAGGCTTCGTTTCAATAACCTAGTAGTCAACACTGACGCCATAGTCTATTCACTGCAGCTCGTTTGGAGTACAGACTACGCCTCCACCGCCTATTCTCAAGGCGCTACCGAAGATATTCGCGCATAGCGACAAGACCGTGCGCGCGGAGGGTACCGCATTGACCCATATCCTGTATCAGTACTTGGGGCCTGGCATAGAACCATGGCTCGCAGACCTCAAGCCAGTGCAAGTTAAAGAGCTTAAAGAAGCTTTCGAGTCTATGGAAGCTGGTGGGACTGGAAAAGGGACCGTCAAACCTGAGCGGATGACCCGTGCTCATGCGAGAGAGGTCGAGGCGGCGGGAGATGCAGGCGATGAGGGAAGCGGAGAGCCAGAGCAGGCAGAGGAAGAGGGTGCGTCTCATTCTGTGACCATCGTCCTGTTGAGTGCCTTATCCCCGTGAAGCGCCTCTAGATCCTCGTGCCTTCGCTGAGCCCGTCGATGTCAAGCTGCCCGGTTCGTTACATGCCATGCTTGGATCATCAAAGTGGAAGGAACGCAAGGAGATGTTGGACGACTTGCTCGCACTAATCAACGCCGCGCCTCGTATCAAGGACGGCCCAGAAATGGGAGACCTTGCGAAGGCTTTGGCAGGCCGCATACAGAGCGACGCCAATATCGCCTGTGTGATGACTGCCGCTGCATGTATGGAGGCTCTTGCCAAAGGCATGATGAACTCATTCGGGCGCTATCGGGAAACGGTCGTCGCGCCGATGTTGGAACGCATGAAGGAGAGAAAGGCCACGGTGACGGATGCGATAGGAACTGCGCTTGACGCGATATTCGCGACTGTGCGTGATCTCTTCCAGTTGCTGCCTGAATTGACCCCGGTGTTTTATTTTCACAGACTACGTTGGCCGATGTTATTCCGGATCTAGGTCCGGCACTCGGATCGAAGAATCCACAAGTCAAGGAAGGAACGCTTAAGTTCCTCGGCCGCTGTCTTGCTACCTCGACATCGCCCGTGCAGCCTGCGCAAATCAAACCGCTTGCCGAGAGCCTCTCCACTCTGCTTGAAGATGGATTCGAAGGTGCACGAAACGAAGCCGCAACATGCATGGGAACGTTGATGAAGATGGTCGGAGAGCGACCTCTGAACGCCGTGATGGACGGCCTGGCTGATGTCCGCAAGGCTAAAGTCAAAGAGGCCTTTGAGAAGGCCACCATCAAGTGCAAATCAGGCGCAGCTCCAAAACCGGCGCCCCCGCCCGCTGCTGCCCCGGTCGTGAAGAAGAAGGCGCCAGCGCCGAAATCTGCACCCCCGCCAGCAACCGAAGAAGCGGCTCCATCGCCACCGAAAGCTGCAGCCAAACCTCCAGCAGCCAAGCCGCCTGTGAGTTCTCACTTTCTCACTCGCATCAAGACTGACGTCGATTTAGGCAAAGAAGCCTCCAGCGGCCGCGGCACCGAAAAAGGCTCCTGCTCCTGCTCAGGCAGCTAAAACGGCGGGCAAAGCAGCAGCGCCAGCAGCCGCAGGATCTCTCGACACCTTCAAATACAAGCACACTCCTGAAGATGCAGAAGGACTTGCTGTCGAGTTGATCCCAGCGGAGATGATGGCTGGCCTCGCCGACTCGAACTGGAAGACGCGCCTGACTGCGTTGGAAGAGATGATCACCTGGGTAGAGTCACTAGTAGACGAGATTGACGCCGAAGTGGTCGTCCGGGCGCTGGCGAAAAAAGGATGGGCGGAGAAGAATTTCCAGGTGTCAGCGAAGATCTATGCGGTGTGCACTTTGTTGGCCGAGAAGGCGCCGTCTTTTGGGAGGTCGTGTGTTGCGCTCTGTGTCGGGCATCTTTCAGAAAAGTTGGGCGATTTGAAGCTGAAGAAACCGGCTGGCGAGACATTGATGGCCTTTGCGGAAAAGACTTCGCTGCAGTTTGTTTTGAATCAAGGTGAGTCCAGGTTGAATGAATTATACCTCATAGTAACATTGGCGCAGCATACGAGCCTCTTTCGAAGCAGAAGGCCCCCAAAGTTCTCGCCGATGCTGTCGCCTGGATCAATTCGGCACTCATTGATTTTGGGATTGCCGGGGTGTCCTTGCGTGGCCTGATCGACTTTCTCAAGACTGCATTGGGAAACTCCAATGCTGCTGTGCGTACCAGCGCGACCAAGACCTTGGTTACTGTCAAGTTGTTTGCGGGATCCAGTGAGTGATCACTCTCTTCCCCAGCACAGCAGCCTAACCCGAAGGCAAGGCATCAAGGACCTGCTGGAGGACCTCAATCCCCAGTTGATGAACACCATCACCTCTGAGTTCGACAAGGTCGAAGGAAACCCAGCGCCGGAACCAAGCAGAACATCGGCCGACCTAGCAAACATGACGACCACAGCATCTGGCTCTGCCTCGGCTGTCGGTGCCGGTGATCCAATGGATGATTTGTTCCCTCGGGTTGAGCTTGATGGTCTGCTCAAAGGGACGACGATTCTCGCCGATGCCAAGAGCGATTCCTGGAAAACAAAGAAAGAGGCATTGGAGAACCTGCAAGGCATTATGGACCAAGGCAGCAACAAACGACTGAAGCCAAACATGGGTGAGTGCCATTCCTCGGCAGCGTAGATGGAGCTCACTTCTGACGCAGGGGAGATTGGTCAAGTTTTGAAAGCACGAGTGACGGACGCGAATAAAGCCGTGCAGACACTGGCGCTCGACATTGTGACGCGAGTTGCGACGGGAATGGGCAAGCCGTTCGAGAAACACGCGCGACTGCTCGTTGGGCCCATCGCGACTGTTCTGTCAGATCAAAAGGCGCCGATTCGTGCGGCCGCAGTGGCGACATTATCGGCGATTGCGACGGCCTGCGACGGCTTGGAGCCGATGATGGCTGGACTGCATGCTGGGCTGGAAACGTCGAATCCCATGCAAAAAGGGACCCTGATGCATTGGATGGCAGATTGGTTTCGCGATCACGAGCCCGGGTCCTCGCTTGATCTGAGCAGTCTAGTGGCAGGCGTGGTCTCTTCTTTGGACGACCGAAACGTCGATGTCCGCAAGGGGGCTCAGGCTCTGCTCGCTCCGTTGATCGTTTCTGCCGGTTTTGATTATGTGATGCATCAGGCCGGCAGCTTAAAGCCTGCCTCGAGAAATTCAGCCATACCATTGATTCAGGCCGCCCGACCTGCAGAAGCACCCAAGCCAGCCGCAGCTGCTTCCGTCAAGGCCGCCGCTCCCACCAAACCTGCGGCAGTTGCTGCGCCAGCGAGATCTGCAGCAGTAACGCCTCCACCCGAGTCTCCGACAGCCGCAAAGGTTGTCAGCAAACTTGGAGTGCGCCGCAAACTGCCGCAAGGGAGCAGCCGACCAGAATCACGTGCAGAGACACCAGTCGAAAGCGCCCCTCCACCAGCTTCGCGAATGCTGGCAAAGCCTGCGGCGGGCGGTCTCCGCCGGCCTGGTGCCCCGAAAGCCGCTGTGCCGGTGGCATCTCCGCCACCAGCCGCCAATCTGGCACTGTCCGGTACCAATCCAGACACCAAGAAGACGCGACTGGGCAAGGACGTGACGAAATGGATCAACGAGAGCGGGCCGACACGTAAGGACCTGGCCGAGTCGCTCCAGAACCAGATGGAGCCTCATGCATCGAAGGAACTGGTAGCTCAGCTGTTCAGCCATGACCATAACGCCGTCAACGACCACATCAACGGACTGGCGACCATGTGCGAGTTATATGCCGACACCGATCCTGCTGCCGAGGCCGTCTGTCTCGCCAACTTTGATCTGCCGCTGAAATACGCCTCGATCAAATTGCACGAGCCCCAACCTAACTTGATCTCCAAGTGTCTTGAGATGGTGGAAACGGTCGTTGCCTTTCTGCGCCGAGTCGCTTGCCAGCTGACGGACAGCGAGGCTACATGCTTCATCCCGACAATCGTATACAAGCTGGGAGACGCGAGAGAGCCCGTGCGAGCCCGGGTTCAGCAGATCATCCAGGACCTGCCGAAGATCTATGCATACAGCAGAATGTTCCAGATCCTGCTCGACCACGGTCTGAAATCCAAAGTGGCAAAGACACGGCAGGGCGCCCTCGATGAGATGGGTGCCATCCTAAAGAAGTCGGGGATGGGCGCCTGTGAGCCTTCCAAGGCCTTCCCGATCATCGCTGGGATGATATCTGACAAGGACTCGGGCGTTCGCAAGTCAGCTCTGGGAGCACTGAGGTGTGCCAACCCATAACTTCATTTGACATTTCTGATGATTTTACAGCGAGGGATATACCCTCGTTGGGAGAAGGTATGGTCCCTGGTCGGGCCGCTTCCTGCCAAGGACAAGACCCAGCTCGAGGAGCGGCTTCGCCGGGTGCAGGGTCCAGCCCAGGCAGAACCTGCGCCGCCAGCCCAAGTCGCTCGACTTGCTGCCACTGGCGTGCAAAGACCCGGTTCTCCCGCTGGGATGAGTCGGATCGGAGGGCTCAATCGACCGGCCAGTCCTGCCAACTTCAAACCTTCCCGTCCGGCATCTCCCGGCCCTTCCAGCTTGCCTCGCGCCGCGTCTCCCGTACGTCGCACTGCCGTGCCTGCCGCCCCGGGGTCCTCTTCCCCCACGACAGGCATCGCCAGGCCTAAAAGCATGCTCCCTTCCAGACTCGGCTTGCCTCGCGCCAAGCTGCCTTCTGTCGCTTCCCGTGATCCCATCATGCCTGCTGAAGAGCCACCGGCGCCTGCACCAGCGCCAGCATCTCGGGTGCCCTCACCGCCACCAGAAGCGACCAACAGCGATGATATCACAGTGACGATTTCGAGCATCCTGAGCAGCGATGCCTCGCGGAGTGTCGATGCGCTGAAGAAGATTCAAAGATCCTCTCTGTAGGGCCAGAAGCAGGCCCGTCATCTGCGCAATACCGAGAGCTGGCAGAACACACCGAAGGACTAATTGAGACGATCACGTTGCAAATGGCCCACATTTTCGAACGGCCGGACAATCTGGTTCCAGAGGAGAACTTCCGTCTGGCAAAGCATCTGATTCAGACACTGAACACATTCTGCGACCACGCGTTCCTAGCCGAATCGCTCACCGTCGATATTCTCACGTCGCTGCTGGAAGAGCTGACCCTGAGGCTGCTGGAAACGGACGACAGCCATATCAAGAAGGTCAAGGACTTGTCAAGGTTCATCAACATGATTGTGCTAAGGCTGTTTGCCACGGGACGGCGAATGCCATCTTCCGGTGCGTCTGTCGAACTGACATCGGCCACCTTTGTTTGACAGGCCTTGTATAGGGCTCTATTTGCGCTTTTGCTCCAGATCGTGAAGCCGTTCCCAGGCAATGGAACACCACCGGACGCAAAGGAAGCTAAAGTCGCCGAACTCGTGCTGAAGTGTGTGTGGAAACTGGCCAGGAATATACCACAAGATCTGGCCGATGAACGACTAGACCCGGTCGAGCTATCCCTGCGATCGAGCACTTTCTGCAGTCTGTGCCGCCCAACGAATGGCGTGCGAGGGCTACAAATAAGGTTCCGTGCGGAGACATGCCTTTGCGGACGATCAAGGTATCATCCAGCACGTGGTTGGTGCGTGTCATTGGTTTGTCAATCTACGCGCTGGCTCACCTCTACAGCATTCTATGGTGACGATGTGTATGACCTGCTTTCTGCCTCATTCGATGAACCATCGCGACAATCACTACCCCTATGTGTATCGTATCCTCAACTCGAACACCCGTGCTGCAAACGAAGCAGCGCGGCGGTAATGGCGTCTCGGCAGGACCGGTCCTCGCCCTCGTCAGCCGACCCATGTCCCTGACGAGGCTCCAGTGAAGCGGACACTCTGCTCCCAGCCACCGTTCCACGCCCAGTTCGTCGGCCGACAGTGTCCAGAACGGCTTCAGTCCCAACGCCCATGACGATGACGACCGG